ACTTAAAACCATTTACCCCCTTTATTATTTTCTCAATGTGGATTTACTGTTAATGTGGTTGAATTCGACAGGCAAATGTGTCAGGGAGATGAATTGATAAGAAAGTAAAGCAACTCCAAGAAATCTAAACATTCTCCCTTGCAATGGAGCTGCACCTGCACTGCAGGGGTTAACTGCTTGTTTATGTGTAGGGGATTAGTTAAAGTAGATTTACTTATCTGATCCTCCACTTTTACAGGTTCCTATGCACTGCTAGACCGGTCCTTGCAGCTTCTTCTCCCCATTCCTTGACAGTCTAAGGTTCTCTAAAGTCATCAAGACTGATGCAGGGTCCATAGCAGTCATGAGACACCATCAGGCTGTCCACTAAGGAAGCAAAGGGGAGCACTGTCTGCCAGGGCAGCAGGAGATCAGGTAAGTAAATCTGTTGTTACTGTACCCCTAGAGTAAATAAGCAGTTAATCTATCCATGTGTGGGCATAACTTCACTGCAAGGATGAATTTTTAGCTTTCCTGAACTTTAGTGTATGCAAAGATCTAACATATGAGATAAAAAGGGAAAGTTAGCACAGATAACATTCTAGGCTAGAAGCAAAGACAGTGCAAATTAATTAAAATGTGTTTTGTATTAAAGCAGAACTTCACTCTAAAGGCAAAGTTCCACCAGAAGTTCTCCCATAACCCCCTCCCCCCCCCCCTCTGCAACCTTCTGGGACACGTCACTGGACTCAGAAGGCTGTGGGACCATTCACAAAGCACAGCACGGCTAGCGGCAGTGTTGACATTTGCTAAAATGTCTGCCACTTCTAAGATCAGGGCTGGTACAAACATAAATGGGCTGTATATATATTTTATAGAAAGATTTCTTGCAGTCTATAGACATTCTGAATTTAGCCCTCATTGTATAAAAAAAGGAACTGTTACTCAGTGATGCTAACAAACATGGCATAGTAGAACTTGTTCAGGACTAGAAACAGACTAAACCCATGTTCAGCCTGTTTCCAAAGAAGGGGCTGTGCTGCCTTGCGTCTGAACCAATGAAAACCAACCCCCTCCCACAGTGCAAGCCAATGCTCTGATCAAATTTGATTTTCAAATTTCATAACGGTTGGAACACCTGAATTTTAAAATGGTTGTTTCAAGTTATTAAAATGTTTACACATATACAGTATAGATATTACAAAATCACATTTCCTGAAAGAACAATGTATATTTAAGATATAGCTTTGCTTTAAAACCTTGCTTTAAAACACATAGTAAATACATTCTTAAACCAACAATGTTATGTATATTAGATTATCATACACCTATATTAAAACTGAACACCATTTCCCTTACATTCTGCATAATAAACAAATGTAGATATTTTACTTTAGGAGACGAGCTTGAATTAAACAATCTGTTCTAATGCTGAATGTTAATTATATTTATTTTGTTTTCCAGTGTAAAATGTCTTGAGATTCTGTAGTGACATGCTGCATCCAAAATATTACATTCACGCTACTAGTCATTTTATTTTAAGCTAAATTGTGTATTAAGAGGACTATCATACAGCAAGTATTTTAAACTGCAGTTGAAAGCAAATGTACTAGATACATGGGTTGAGCATAGTATGTATAGTCTACACTGCGTAGTACATATTTGTATCTCTGTGCCCTCAAAATAACTATACACAGTTACTGCTGGCATACAACATGGCTAGTACAAGTGTACTTTAATGATAGAATTGTGCTTTTATTCAAATTGAATATTTATATGCAATGTAACTATAGTAAGTGGAGATGGCATTTTATTTTTATTATCCCTATTCAGACCAAAAATAGCCAAATTACATACATTTACAATAATTATATATTTTAATACTTAGATTAATTTAGCTTATCATTGTTTTAGTAAGACTGTAAAAGCCATATCAGCAACTGTTCATGTTTAATTTGTAGAGCTTCTGAGAGGTTTCTGCACAGATTTGGCTGCATTGGATTTGAAAGGTATGCTACAATAATTTTATCTACACTGTTCTTTTAAGCTGGCCATAGATGGATAGAATTTCAAATGAAAATTCTCAGAACATTCAAATGTTGTTTGAAAGACTTCATTTGCTTTTAACATTTGATTTTGTAATGAATGGACTTTACCGAAAATTCTATCATTTGAGAAACATTTTTCATTCTGCTCCTTTGAATTTTCTGAATATTATGGTCAAAAACCAGTGTCGATTTGAACCACTATTGATTAGAAAAATTAACAAACTTTTAGAACATTCTTTTCTTAAAGCGGAGTTCCACCTGGAAAAAAAAAAATCAGAAGCTACAAAAACTGTGGCTGCTGACTTTTAAAATACAGCCAGTTACCTGTCCCTCGGTCCAGGGGTGTCCTCACCACGGCTGGTTTCACTGGCCTTCTTCTCTCCCTGGCGCCGGCATCTTCAGTGTGGGCACCCGGTTGTGACAGTTTGCGGCTTCACAGCCGGGTGCCCACTGCGCATGCACGAGTAGCACTGTGCTTTTTGAATGGCCCCGTAGTGTTCTGGGACCTGTCACGTGTTCCAGAAGACTACGGGGAGGGAGGACAACTTCCGCTTCTGATCGCCTAGGCGGTCGCAGTGGGAGTGGGTGCTTGTCAAATTCGGGAACCCACTCCCCAAAGGTGTCAATTCTTAATCTGGAGCGGGGGACAAAGACTTAAAGCGGAACGTTCCCTTTTGTTTGAAATTCTACCCATTTATGGCCAGTGTTAGTATTTTTCATGTCCAGTTACCTGCATTTTTCTGCACTAGATAAACACAGGTCATTGCAAAGGGCACACAAAAAATAATGGTATTCTATGTGCTTGTTTACACAGCAACACAGAGTGATGTATATAAACGCAAAGCACTGTGCATAAAATGCATGCACATTACTGCACATGCATTTCCAGTGTATTTTTATGTGCAGCATGCTGTGAAAGGACACGAACATGTACAGTTTTTATTAATATGTATAAACATTGTCTAAAGTGTCATGCTCTATAATGCATTTCTTACATAAGGTTTGTAAATCCAGTAAAAATAGTTATTAGTAAATGTTTTAAATACATGTTAATGCATTTATTATTGGAATTATCAAGAATCAAGTGTGAGTTACTTATTTTGGTAGATGCCTAGCTGTTTGTGCTGTGTGCAGTTTTATCGCACACTAGTCAAATACATGGCAAAGTTGTGACTGTTTTTAAAAAGTTCTAAAATGCACAGTAATGTGTCTCTGTGAGGTGCAACCATAATTGTATGTGTATTGAGCCTTTCTGTATACATGAGTCCTTATACCGAGATAACATTACATAGTCCTGAATTCAGTATGTATTAAGGAAAAACTATTGCTTGGTGTATGTTGCCACTGTGCATCAACATTGTACTTTCTCACTAAATTATCATTAAATAGAATTATATTACTAGTATGAACCTCTACTGACTGCCTTTGCTTACACTACATATTTATAGGCACAATTTATTCCTATAAAGAAAACTTAATAAGGACATCTGCACAAAAGCCATATTTTAATGCTACCTACATTAACACCAACCTTGAGTTATGTTTCTGCAATTATAGAGTGTATCAGTTTAACTGCCTATATCAGGGGTGTCAAACTGGCGGCCCTCCAGCTGTTTGGAAACTACAAGTCCCATCATGCTTCTACCTTTGGGAGTCATGCTTATAACTGTCAATCTTGTAATGCCTCATAGGACTTGTAGTTTGGCAACAGCTGGAGGGCCGCCAGTTTGACACCTGTGGCCTATATTATTTACACTGTTACACCCCCGTAACCCCCAAGCGAGCCCCTCCATTTACTAAAGAATAGGTCCACTTTTTGTTTGCAGCCTGTTATGCTGGCCATGGGTTATTACTGCTGCAATGTCAGATGGTCAGGTTATTATCTTCATCTATAGTAAGACCACTGCTTCAGCAAATTTTGCATTTTAGCCACACATTACTGCAGAACTTTAACATAACCCTCAGACCTTGTGCTAACCAACCATAATAGTAAACCACTCTGGCCAATTGAAGCCACCCAAGGCAAAAATGGCCAAATTGGTATGTCTGCTGGCAATCTGATTATCACCCTTTACTTCCAGAATCATCTAGACAACAATTACAATGGATACACCCACAGTAAAATACAAGTTTAAAAGAAAAGTTTGAGCTTGATATATAAAAGTGTAAATTATGTCCAAAGCAACAATTTAATTATTTTCTTCATTTTTAATCCTATACCAAAACAGCCATAATGACATATGGCTGCTGTGGGCAGCACACTTGCCTATGAGGCACAAGCTATCTTTTCATTTTGGGCTTTAGAACCTATCATAGCAGTGTTTTAACAATGGCCACATGCGATCAAAATGGTGGGATGCCCAACTATATTTCTTATGCTATTCAGCGAATTTTGGCTTTTTTTATTTTTCTTTATAACTGGTTTAAAAATACATTTATTTTGTCTCTTTTATATGAAATGTCAGCAAAATAAACTTAGTTTACTCTTACAGTTGATGTTGTGTAAAATGTCCTAATATATTCTATAATAAGTTTAAAAAAAAAAATCTAAGTCAGACCAACAAAATAAGTACACACTTGCTCTAGTGCTTTGTAATTTAAATCTGTTATAAAACAACATACATGCTTTAAGAATCTGTACATTTTAGGGATTATGTATCAAAGGGTGTAAGGTTAACAATTTTGTTGCTCTTCATTTTACTAATAAACAGCTTTAGAATAACCTCTGAATATGTGTATGTATAGTGTTATCTTGACCAGATATTAATATCCATTGTTTAATACAATACCAATTTGAGAAACTTGATACATATGCCCTTTACATTTGTATGTCGTTTGTTATAACATTGTCCGGACAGGATCCAAAATCACCATTTATTTTGTTTTCATTGAGCCCAATCATAGGTAAAATCGCATTAAGGTCACTTAAGCCTAGTCGTAGTTATAACCAAAGACATCTTTTGGAAAAGTCTCTCAGCCGTTGTGTCGTCTATGGCTGTGTCCTGAGCCATGTTTGGAGCAGCTGGCACAACAGAAGCTGCTGTAGTACTCATTGTTACATAGCTGAGCATAGACAATTAGGTCACAATTGGCGAGCTCGGGGTGGTCAAGGCACTCTGTGTTTGGGTCCGCAGTTTGAACTGAAGATACTAAATAGAAAAAAACAAATTTTTTTTTTTGTAGTTATCAGGTTACATAAAAGGTTATTTGCACAGGTATGCACTTTATTTTTGATTTGGCACATAAATTGCACATTCATTCAACACGAAACTCCAGCCTACACTTTTTTTTCTCAGGCATACAATGCCGGGCCTTTAATCCTTACCATGGGTCATATGCAGTTACCTTTCGGAAATTGCACACTGACAAAAAACTATATCACCACTCCCAATCTCAGCTAGAATTAGTATATTTGCTAGTAACCTTAAAGGATAATTTCACCTTTGGGAACATGTTACACCTGTTTTTAGGGTGGAACATGTAAGATGTTCCCATAGCCGCAGCTGCCACCCTACACCCCTTCGCCCTCCTTCTGACAGATAGCATGGGGAGACTTCTCCTTGTATTATCTGTCAAATTTGAAAATAGCGCATCATTCATTCATGGACATCCATGAATGAATGAACTGCAAGTCTCGACAGCCTTCGCGGCTGTTGGCTTGTAGTTTTCAGTGAACCACCACAGTGCTGTGGAGTGCCGTGGTAGTTCATTGAATCTTCCTGTCAGTATATCTGCTTGCTCATACATCCCGTATGGCAAGGAGATATTCTGACAGGTCTGCAGGAGACCTGCATGGCATCAGCTATCTACTGATCGCTGGTGCAATGCTTTCCAGGCTTCTGTAGACAAAAATAATAAAGGCACATTTTTCTTACCTGAAAAAAAATGTGCATTTATTATTTTTGTCTAAAATGTGAACTCATCCTTTAAGTAATAGAACTCTTCTCTCTACTGAAAGAAGCTTATCTTTTTCTTTTAGAGGTTTTTTTTCTGAGATGATTCTCCTATCAAGATTCCTGGCAGCATCAAAACTACTGGAACCCCTTTTGTAGTATTTGGATTGGTTGACTTATTGGTTAAGCCTGGGGGGACTGGACCTGGACTTCATTTGGATAAAGATGCAGGGCTGGCCTGGAATGTTGCTTCAGGGACTGGAGCGCCTGTGCAGGTGCTCACCTTGAGACATAGTCCATCGCATTTAGTTAGCTGCAGGGTGCTATATAGATAAAGGCCCATGGTCTGCTAGCAGCAGAGCCCAGTCCCTGAAGACCTCTTTGGGGGTATGCCCATTCTGGAGGGCAAAGCTAGGCTGAGGTCTCATCCCTTGCATTCTGCCTCCCTTGTGTTCTACCCAGACATCTGCCCTGGGAAGTGCAGGGCTCATACCCTTTAAATCTGCCTCAGGATGCTAGCACTCCTGTGCTTTTGCCACTGAGGGAAACTGGTTGCAATACATTAAACAGTGTATCACAGCCATGGATGAGAGACCCACCCTTGCCACTGACAGTAATCATTGTTTATTGCCCACCAAGAAGGCTCCCCCTCTCCTCCCATGCTGGCAGAACACAATAGAGCTGCAGGAGGCATTCCCTCATCAACGCTGACTGTGTTGATAGGGAATAAAGCGATTTTCTTTCCTTCCACTCGTGGTGGAAGGAAAGAAAATCAAATCCTCTATAGACTGATTATTCTTCTTTACTTGTGGCAACTACAGTACAATTCCCCAATAGCCTATTTTTGAGGCAAAGGTTAGCCAACCAGCTGTATTTTGTCCACTTAAACGGTTTTTGAATTCTTTCAAGCATTCCTTTACCCTGTTTTCTAATTGCAACAAACAAGGGGAAATAAGTATTTTTTAACTGACTTACCCATTGGTTTATTCCTGTTCACCTTGATTTCTGCACTGGCACTGACAGAGTGACTGCCACTGTATGCATTGCATGTATATGAGCCTTCATCTGCAGTCTTGGTGTTCCTTATTATCAAGCTGCCATCATGAGACACATACGTGTGACTGCCATCTGGCTGCACTGGCACACCATTCCTGTAAGAGGCAGACATGTGGGCATATGTCAACTGTAGCAATTCTTAATGATTTGGAAGAAAACTACACCACTGCTGATGTTTGTTATTAAATTGCTAAATGCTTGGCTGTTATGCTGATGCTCTAGCTTCACTACCCTACAGCAGAACTCCAGTCAAAATTATGATTAAAAAAGGTAAAATAATAAAACCTACTTTTGCTGCAATATTTACCTTCAGTCCAGAGATTTCCCTGCTGTACTTTTTCTGTCATTAGATGTTCTAAGTTTGAAGGCCAGCATCATTCAACTCTCTTTCTTGGAGCCCAGATCATCCTAGACTCACGCAAACCTGTGACTGGACAGCGAAAAGAAGTTGCACATTGATAAACTCATCAATGTGTCACTCTCTCTTCCTATCAGCATATGGACTGATTGGCTCCTTGTACTGCTTCTTCCTCTCACACTCCAGCCCTGCTGTACAGGGACTGCAGTAGGCTGATACCAGGTCAAATTGCTTTAGGTAGTAAGTTCCACGAGCAGGGCCCTCACATTCCTTCTGTACTGAAACGTATTGTAATTGTACTTTCTCCCTTATATTGTAAAGCGCTGCACGAACTGTTGGCGCTATATAAATCCTGTATATTAATAAGAATAATAATTCAGGTACCTAAAATGCCTGTATTTAAAAAAAACAATTACATGAAATGACATTTTCATGATTACAGAGCTGCATTTATTTGTGTGTTATATCTGCCTAGAGTTCAGCTTTAACTAAGCCCAAGATGAGTATTCAAAAGGATGCTTTTTTTCTGACTGATCAGTAAAACTCAGCATGTTTTGGAGCATGCATTGCTCCCTCTTCAGAAAACATGTTGCATTGTACCGATTTTAATAAATTTGTGACTTTCGTTTATCTAACATTATTGTGATCCACCTCCTTTCTCTGCACGGTGTGGACCCCCATTATCCAACAGTATGGTTGTTAAGCACGGTACACCCTACCTTGGGATGTGTAGTTGAAGACCTCTTGGAAGTTAGTTGTGAATTCCTGCTATGTAAGCTTGTCAGCTGGGACACAAATTAGTGTTTTGTGAGCCATTTGCCAAGATGAGCTTTTGATTTCAGTTTTCCTGTTCACCTACTGATACTCTTAGATGCACTCTGCCTTTGTTTTTCAGTATAAATTGTGAAAACTGACATTTAAATGAGCAGTACGTCATGGGTTAAACCAGCCCAGGCTATAAAATTCACAGGAAGAGATATAGAAGAGCTGTTCAAGCAGCTGGCACTGGCCACATGCAGAGTTCTGGTGCAGAAGCAGCAGGCCCTGGCATAGCAGCAACTGGACCTGAAGCAGGTGGTCACAGATCACCAAGCAAGTACCTGCTTGTCCACCACCCAGCCACTTGCTCGGCAGAAATCTACACAAACACAGGTGACCACCTTGCAGGAGAAATAAAGAAATAGCTGAAGCCGGAGGCTCAGTTGGGTCACCAAATGGTGGTGTGGGTCATGATGGACCAGCATCTGAAGTGCCTGCCTGGCAATCTTGAATAAGTCATGAAGACCTCAGATCAGTTTGTAGACATGGTGGAGAGATATACTCGATATACAGTATACTACAATGGTAGAGGATCTACTCAAGCCTGCCAGATGACAGTACCCCATTTGTTCACATACACCAAGGTCTTCTACAGTTTCTAGGAAAGGAGCTCTGCAGAACCCTGGCATTAGCACACAAGATGGCTGAGATACATCTACTTCAGCTCCCCAGGGGTCCACTCCTACACAGAGATTGGGGCATATTCTATGGTACCAGTGTTACTCCTGGGGGCATACCATGGCCCAGTGTCCACTACAGAAGAAAGCAATCTGGAGTTATTCAGAGGGCATTCTTTCGAGTTTAAGAAGTTTGTACCACTTGCCTTGATCTTTAGTGAGAGTCATTTTGAGTGTACTCTGCATGTGAACCACCATCCTGCCAGGGCCTTGCTAGACTCAGACAGCTTGCTTATGCTTGTGCATGCAGGGCTGGCACAGGGGTGGGAAGAAGGGCCAAGTGCCCTAGGCGCAGCATTATGTGAAGAGGAAGGGGTGCACTGGAGCCGAACTGTCCCACACTAGCCTCAGTAACAGGAACGTCAGCAGGATTTATCCCTGACACACTGTGCGGCCCGAGAAGGGAACTTGATTGCTGCTGGAGGGAGAAGCCTGCTCTCTTCTCCCTCCACTAGCAGCATGTGGGTGGGAGAGAGGAGATTACCCACTGAAAACACCTCCTTTGGTGTATAGCATAGCACTGAGTAGGTTGAAGCACTCCGTCATAGGAGAGGAACTTACATGATATTCACTCTCACTCCCCCCCCCTATGTTCAATATTTTGAAGTGTTTTTACACCCCCCCCCCCCCCCCCCCCCCCCCCCCCAACATCCGCGTTCTCCGCCTTGATGGATAAGATAGCTTACATTTTGTGAGTATGAGATATTAGTACATATTGAGGCGGCACCGCACACATCCGTATTTTGGGATGGGGTTTGGGAAGAGGTGAACGCAGATAGTGTCCATTTCTGGGTGGGAGGTTTAGAGTCAGTAGACTGCCCTCTTTCATGCTCCCTTGGCCAATGATTGCAGTGAAAGCATGTATGTGTGTGTAATCATCTGCCCCCCCTCATTTGGCATGCCACGCTTGTTTCAGTACATCCAGCCCAATGAGTTCTGTGAAAGGTCAAAGCTGTAGAGAGCTGAGTTACAGCAATCCTGGAAGTTAATAGCTGCATGGAGGAACTGATCTGAGCCTCTGCTCTCTACTGCAGTCACCGGAAGGAGAGAGCACATCTTCCCTTACCTACTGCCGATTGTTGTGGGTTAGATTTCAGCAGAGGAGAACTTACATCAAACAGGCTGATAGCATGTAGTTCAGGAAGGGAGTCTTGGAAATTCAGAATGCAGGGAGGGGGGACTGGCAGAGAAAAGCATCACACAGGGATAAGGAACATTGACACTATTCCTGAACTGCTTCCTCATCTCAACAAAAATTATTCTTTTATTACTAATTGAAGTTAACAACAGCCAATGTAAAGCAAACCTGACATGAAACAGAGAAGCTGTTACTCATTTTTTTTTCTGAAATGTTAGTTGCCTGGTTGCTATGTTGACTGCATTGTTCTGATTCAGTGGGAGAATAGAGACTGGGGTATCTGAATTTTTTGTCCCGGTCTGGACCTGATGAAGCCCCTGATCAGCTCTACTGGCTGGGGCTGAAGGCTATGTTTAAGAGATACTGTGCTTCTTTCCTCATTTACCAGTTTACTGCAGCAGTGTCGCACTTTAAAAACAACTTGGTAACTCTACCTATAAGTGATGTACCATTTGAGTGCATTGCAATGGACCTGATTGGTTCCCTGCTGAAGTTGACCCGAAGATGCCTATACTGGTAGTTCTTTATTATGTGACTAGATGTCCTGAGGCTGAACCTCTCAGAAATACTTCATCTAAGGTCATTCCACTGGAGTTGATGCATAAGTTGCCAAAAACAGGATTTCTCAAGGGGATTCTGAATGACCAGGACACCGCTTTTATGCTAGAGGGGATTGCAGATTTGTGCAAACTCTTCCAAAATAAACAGCTGCCGACTTAAATCTATTACCCACAGACATGACCTGGTTGAGAGGTTTACAAACTCCTCTTAAAAGGGTAGTACAGAGAAATTGGAAGGACTGGAATTACTTACTTCCTGTGCTGCTATTTGCCATATAAGAGAACTCTCCCAAGCAGCCACAGAATGTTTACCATTTAAATTAGTGTATAAACAGAGGTCCTGTGGATTGCTTCATTTAGTGAAAGATAAATAGGATAGTAATACCACTTCCCTAAAAACAATGATAGAATATATCTTTCAAATGCGAGAGATGATCACTAATGTGATGTCATTAGTAAAATAATGTTTACTAATGGCTAGTAATCAATGTCATTCACAGAGTAAATGGTCTAGCTCAACTGTGTTGGTCCCAACCAAGGTGTCTAATTTTGATGTGTATCCCATGCCCTGGGTGGATGAACTGATAGATGTTGGGACCCGCTCAATACAGCACCACGCTGCACCTTGCCAAAGGGATAATGGTAGATACACTTGGCCAAGTAAGCCAGGGAGACCATTTCATTCTCCACTCCTGAGAGACAATTTTAGCATAAAAGAATGTCATTTGGACTACATTTTACCACTGCCACCTTTCAAAGGGTAATGGATAAACTATTTTACCCTCACCAGAAATTCACCTCAGTCTACCTGGATGACATTGTCTGAACCCTGGGAAGATGGGATTCCCAATCTGTGCTAAAAATAACAGTGTTCGGTTCTTTAAAAATGGGGGGTTTCACTATTAACCCTGAGAAATTGGTAGGAAGGAGGCAAAGTACCTGGGGTACATTGTGGGGGGGTAAAGCCCTAACTGAACAAGAGTTAAGGCATACAAGATTGGTCTATTCCACTAATGAAGAAACTGGCCCAAACTTTCCTGAGCATAGTTAGGTACTAGTGGCGATTTGTCCTTAACTTTTTCAGTTGAACAGCTAGTGTTCCAAAAGGCAGGTAGTAGTAGGTGAATGTTTAATGGAACGCTGAAGCCAAGGAAGCTTTCCTGAAGCATAAGGCTGCAATATGCCAACATCCAATGTTAGTTGTCTTGAATTTTGTCAGAAAATTTATTGTATAGACAGACAATTCAAGTGAGTTTGGGAGGAGTCTCGAGGGTAATATGGAAGGGGCTCTCATTGTTTTCCTCAGCAGAAAGTCGCCAGCTGCCAAAAGAAACTAAGCAGTGGTGGAGCAAGAGTGCCTGAGCATAAAATAGCTCTATGTTTGGCAGCAGATCCCGCTTGCCTTGACCGTGCCCTATTGACCTATATGAGACAAAACAACTGTGGGTATAGGATTATAACTTTTTGTTTGTTTGTTTTTGTTTTGTTTTTTTAATGGTTGAACTAGACGGACTTTTGTCTTTTTTCAGCCAGACTATGTAACAGTATTTATCCGTTAGGGTAAACCAGGTTATTAAAAAATTAGCAATAAGAAATATAACTCACCTTGACCACTGAACATTGATATTGTCACCTTTCACTATACATTTCAATGAAGCCTCTTCACCTTCTAACACAGTGACACCACTGGGCGGCTCAGTGATTTTTAGTTCCCCTGTAGAATTAGAGACATTTCTCACTACCTCATCTGAATTCAACAGGAATTTTCTTGCAATAAACTCAAACCAGTAAAGACAATTATACAACTAAGCATTACATTACCAATGCACATAACCATGGACCACTTAAGGTGGATTTTCTTGGTACGAGGCAACTGAAATAGCCCTATCACAGTTGTTCCTCTGCTACCAGAAATCACTAAATTTTACCTGTAGAAACAGGTGTAAATAGCTATATTTGTGATCTCAAGGACATCTGCATTTGCAGGACATCTGCCCTGTACAAGTTTGCAAAAAGTAGAATGTCTGACTAACCTCTGATTTTTAATTGGATTTGTTTAAAGTCTCTGCGATGTCCATTAGTAGTGGCACATGTATACAATCCAGCATCTTCTGAGCTTACACGACTGATCACCAGTGAACCATCTGCTTGTTTTCTGTATCTGGAATATATGAGTCAGGTAATAGCAAACATTTTAATATGTACCTAAAAAGAAAGCTTAGTTTCAATAACAAATTGTTTAAATTCATAACAAAGCAAGGAAGAGAGTATTGTCAAAAACACTTACAGAAAGGGTTAAAAAAAAGGGGGGGGGATAGCTTGTCCTATCTATAGAAGTCATACAGAAAAAAAAGACAGAATAAATTGACTTTCATAGTACCCCATGCACATGGTACCCCACCTGGTACTGTGCATTCGTACTGGTACAGGGTTGTTTTAAATGCAACTTTTAGGCAGGCTCATCAGCAGCTGGTTGTTGCAGCTACATATACCAAGCCCTTGGAATAGGCCAAAAGAAGGTATTTGGCTTACTGGGCACTTTTTTGTAAAGAAAAACTGATCAAGAATTTTTGGTTCATCATTTATTACAAATATTCTCAATATAAGCTTTTTCAGACAACTAGTTTTGTCATTTTACCTTGCGGAAGGCAAGGGCAGTCCATCTTTTTGCCATTCTACCATTGTACTGGGAGATATGTGCAAATGACAAGATAATCGTGCCCGATGACCAAGATTTGCTTCCACCTCAATGGGACCAGTCACAGATGTCCTAAACATAAGGAGGAAAAAATACTTATTTTATTATTTATAAAAAAAATAATAGTCAAATGCTGTCGTTCTCTGTAGTGAATTCTTATTTCATGCTTCAGGAAACTTTGGAAAGGTAGGCTTACTGCACTTGTAGATAATGTAATTTCTCTTTGCACTACCTTGTTAAAGTAAAACGTTTTTTCATTGGCAAGGATAATTTCAAAATTGTTGGATTAGTATACAGCTCGCTTACCTTCTCCCAGAGTGCACAGAATGACTACTGTGCAAATTTTCTCTTAACACATGAGCAGTAGAAGAGCCTGCCCTTCGAACATCTTCATTTCTCCCTCTGGCAATTTCATGTGTTTTACGACCTTCATGTGTCACAGTTCCTGCAAAGCCACAAAGCTTAATTGTTATGTGTAGTGGGCTGTGTCATGATGTTGTCATGACGTCTGCTAATCTGAGTTACATCTAAAATGAAACCTCATCACAACTTTAAAAATTCTGAAAAAGGTTCAATAAACTGTGTAAAGAAATAGACCACAGAGATTGACATAACAAATAAATATTTTCAAGCTGAGTTGGGCAATTGTTAATATAACCTTTTGTTTACCTACATTTGGGAATTCTATGAAAATTATATTTTTGAAATTTGATACTGTTCCTATATAGTGTAACAGAGTAGTAGGTGGCAATTAATAAACACACCCCTCACTTGAAGCCGCACTGTGTGTGTTTCTTTATGGTTGCCATTTGAAACCATACAGGTGTAGGTTCCGGCATCTTCAGCTTGGACATTGTTGATCACAAGAGAGCTGTCTGATTGGTAGGTGTGCCTAGAAGAAAACCATAAGGTCAGTAAAATGTTCATTTGACTTTTTGGGAATGGCAACAGGGAAATATGCTTGTTTTATTTGTCCATTATATACTGTTTATTTGATATAAAATGGGTTAACCTCATGCAGCAAATAAAAAAATATCTTAAAGGAACTGACCCAGAACAAATATTCAGATACAGGAGTATGCCTGCATGTGTACCTTTGTCCCGTCTAGTGCTCCCTGAGATCCCCAAAACCTAGGCACTCTATATTAAAAGAAAAGTGACCATCATCCATGTTCACCAGCTTTGGCATGCTACCTTTTGGCTCACATGCCCTACTGTTGACTCATCCCTATCATGTGCAATCTTAATAACCAATCACAGGTATGTACAGAGACACTATACAATTGTTTTAAGAGCTTCGGGCAGCATCCTGAACCTTTCATAAATGCTTTGTAAATACTTGCTGTACATGAAGCTTTTTTTTGAAGTAGAGATCACAAGCTAATGGTAAATAGCTTTAGGCCTCATACATATGTTCTCTGTTTAATGTTATCCTTTTAGTACTAGTCTGAAGAACATTAGATTTAGAGTATTGATGACCCACTGATTTTAATAACTTGCATTTCTGACATTAATATTTTGTGCCACTGACCTGGAGGCAAATGCAACTCAGGAAAATCAAAACTCCATATGTGCATACATTTTTTAAAGATAAAGGGTCAGCATAACAACCAATTAACCTTTGAAAAGGATACAAGCAATGACAACCCCTGTATCTCTCTAACTATGCATATACAGTACTTTAACGCCCCCTGAAGTTCCATTCCAGAACAAACACTTAGAAGGCTTTTAGCAAGCTTTATCTACTGAAACTTGTTAGAAGTCTACTGAAGCCTTTTTTTTTTAATAATTTTTATGTCAACCTTTTGTACACTAGAAATGTTTAAGGGGGTAAGAATTAGAATAGGTACTGGATCACAAGTGAATATTACCAGCAGTCAGGTACAAAAAGTTTGCAAAAAAGCAGTTACAACCCACAGGATTCATATTGCTGTTTAGTTAATGTTTGGTGCTGTTTTACCCGACTGCTTTATTCAACATAGAATTACTGTATCACCGAGTTATGAAAAAAAAAACTGACCTGGTTGAGGACACAGGACTTCCATCTTTCTGCCATTCCACCCTGGGGAAAGGGTAATCACTCACTCTGCACAGCAGACGGACAGTTTGTCCAATCAATGACTCCATAGATGATGATTCTGCCTTGTTCAAGATTATTCTAAGAGGTAAAGGAAAATGGACTTTAGATGTCACAAAAAAACGATATAAGGATAGATCACCCTCACAGTTATATCAAGCAAAACGTAGAGTGAGTTGAAATATATTGTGTTTTGTGCATCTTAGTAATCTGTACAACAGGTGTATCCAACCTTTTAACTGTCCTGGGCCACATTGGAAGAGAGATTGCTAACTGATTTTCAGTTAATGAACACTGATATAGGTAATGTCCCCATCTGAGTTATAAAACTTCCTTTTATTAAAATTATTTTTTATTATAGAAGTAAAAGAGGGAAACAAAATGAATGCAATATTTGACTCTGTTGTTTGTAAACTAACACATCAATATCTGGTTTGATGGATGTAGTAGCCTTTCACAATGAATTTCCAAAGTGACCAACAGATATTTTGGTTAGAATTTTGCCTTCGTGTGCTTCACCCTGGAAAATAGCTGCTCCAAAATATAGATGCTGCTGAAAACTGATGATCTGAACAAGGCGTGATTGTGAAGAGATGGATATTTTTCTTTGGGAAGATAAAACTTATAAAAGTCCAGTAAAGGGACACTGTCAATTTTTTTTTTTCTCTGGTTGCATGTGTTCACTTAGCAATTTTACAAGAAATTAAAAAAAAAAAAATCAACATTTTTTAAGTAGGTTTAGGATTTTGTGTTGGGCCACATTCATAGCTGTCTTGTGGCACAGGTTGGACACCTCTGTTGTACAATATTATTACATGCCTTACAGTCTCCCTCCTTCTGTATAATAAAAGAAAAAACTTAGGATAAAATACCTGTAAAGGGAAGAATGGCGAGATGTGTCTTCTACTTTGGGTGCATATTGGCTTTGATCAGTGGATGGACCAGATATTCTGTAATCTATACTGCTCTCATCCAAATCATGCCCAGCAAGAATACGGCCTTCTGTGTCTCCATCAAGAGTTTTAACAATTCCTCGATGTTGTCCTCCTGGCACATGTCCCAAACCTACAGATTCATCAACTCCTGGGTTTTCATGTGATAAGCGATCCCACTTCATTCCCCTCTTACGGTATCGATATTCTATTCCAGTTGTCCTCCCTGAGATTTTTTGGCAAGCGTTAACGCATTCCTCTTCACTGCCAAAATTATTTTTATTGCCGTGGCAACCACCGTACCAAAAACGATTACATTTGCCAACATCTGCGACAAAGTACCAGCGAGTAGTCCAGTCACTGCAAGGGCCCAGAGCACTTGATAGAAGACACATTGTTGGATATGCTGGCAGAAATAAGATTAGAATATGAATATGACCATTTAGAGTCATTTGGTGCACACAAGGCTAGTGTAAGCAAAGGTTCAACTCTGTAGTTTACCTCTGATATGTGCATTGTTTGGGATACTCCTGTAGCACAATCTTTGCATTCTGCACAAACTGGGCTATCATTTTACAGTTGATTTCATGCTTGGGGAAAAAAAAACTTCAGCTTGCTGAAAATTTGATAAATACCTTTGATATCTGATGCTCTAGAATAAATGTAAATTGTTTCTCTCACAACACCTAAAAGACTATTCTTATGAAAGTGAACCTTTGCCTAAGCTGTGGACACTAAAGTATTCATATAGCCAGGAAATGACATGAGTTTAGTTAGTGGTTTGGGCAAGTAGATGTTTTGTTTGTTTTATGCTATGACTTGCTGTGCAAAGCCATCCTGCATTGAAATTGTTTATTTGCTGCCTTGCTGAATAAAAGTGTGAAACTGATCCTGGGTGTGTCCCTGTCTTGTGCATAGTTTACCATAGTGCGTTTTAATGAAGAACAGATAGTAACTCCTGGGCAGTCAGAGTGCACTTACGATAACTGGGTTTACTGTGACATCCTTCACCCAGGGGACCAGAAGCTTTTCTGATGTTGTCAAAGCAGCATCCATATTGGGAGGTTCTACATTCTTCAGACGGCATCTAAATCCACAAACAGCAAAAGCTATTAACTATATAAGCACAACCCTAAGGCTCTTGTATTATGGTCCTTTATTCCTGTACACATAAGGATTGATTTATATATTGGAGCATTGGGAAAATAGAAACCTTGTTAACTAACATTCTGATGGTTTCTTTTTTATTTTATCCTTCAAATAAAAAGTCAAAAAGTCTAAGGCCTGAAAGGCACAACAACTAATTTTCTTTTACCAGTTTTCACAGTCCCTTATGTTATAAACTGCTTTCTCAGTTTATACCAATACAAGAACGCACAGTTATAATTTTTAACAAAGTACCATACAGTATTTTTATGGCTATGGATAACTCACAAATCCTCTCACTCCCCCATTACTATGTATCCTACATAGACTCATAGTGGTTTAACTTGATACATAAACATGTGTCAGATAACAATGATGTTTTTTATTTAATTAATATTAATTTCACTGCACTTTATTACATGGCTTTGAATGCTCAGATATAGTACTGTATTCCATTTGAAAGAGCACAAGTCTACTTACCTATTTTGAGAACTGAACCATCATTCATGCAGCTCATCTATCTGCTACAAGCCAACATATTTGCAGACAAATTAATGAAATACTTTTTAACTTTAATGATCTTCTAGAACTTAAAAAAAAGTTTGGCCAAATGCAGATTCACAGCAAATCTGGCTGAACAAAGGTGAATGGATGTTCACTGTGTATGGCCAATTTGAGCCACTAAATAAACCAAAGCATCCATTCTCTGGTAAAGGGATCCTTTGTAAAGAAGGTGAATTAGTGACAGGTTCAAAGAGGGCAGCAGATTCACTCCCATCTACACTCCCTTCCATAGTACAAGTCATCTGGACCAGGAAGGCAAACATGACTCTTTGTAATCATATGGTTCACAGCTATATTGATGCACTGTGTAGTCTTAAGGCAGAATTTAACCTGGACTTAACTATGTCTAAGATACATCTATTATGATGCAAGACTTGGAAAAAGCCAAGCATGGTAGCAATTTAGGTTATTCTCATTGACTGGCCCATTTGCTCAGTGACCTTCTGTTACCAAGGATCCTCTGCATCATTACAGCAATAAGGCTGTGCAATATGTGGTCATGCTCCTATTACTGGTCGATTTGCTTTGCAATCAGATGACCTGTACTCTAGAATGGTGTGTAGGTGGGCCTACTATCTTCTCTGTAATGAGAGTGAATTGTTAAGGTGTCCAAAGGATCCCTGAACCAGGTAACTTGCATACATACTGGGTAAGTAACTCAAGGTATTGAAGCAAGAGGGTCAGCATAACAGCCAGGCATCTAGCATCCAGAGAATGATAAATAATGGTAGCCTGCATGTTTTTCCCAGTAAAAGTTCGCTTTAATGACTTACAAGCAGCGCCATAACAGTACCTGAGTCTGTAATGCATGATCTCATCTTAACAAACATATACATTATATGTGTATTTAGTTGGCTAAAGATAAAAAAAGGTAGCATCATGAATGCACGTACTTGAGGGTCAGCTCTTGGGTTCCTTTCACTGGGACATCCTTCATTGTTATAACCCTGGGCAGGTGTCACCCTATCTGGGCAGCAGCTATATCTACAACAAAAAATAATAAGCCACAATCAAAGATTCTCTGTTTAGTGTGTTATGCTCCATTATCCTTATCCTGATTAACAGAACTGGCACATCCAATCACTTTTAGTGGTCTGTACTAAATGGATAAGCAGTAATTAGCAAACAGATTTTTACTAGAATATTGTATGATCAGTCTACCGAAACTGGTATTTTGTATGGTTATCAATTTTTTAAATTGCAGAAGGAACAGAACATTTGCACAGAGGGAAAAAAAATGGAGTCTTTTCAAAAACAAGATTTTCTTTATTTAACTGATATTTGTTGGGATTGGCATTAGAAAGCTACAGTTTGCCCCCACACCCCAGGGTGTGTATCCATGTCAACTATGGTTCACAGGAAGTGGGTTGAAAGACACCAGCCACTATTCAACCCGTAACAGGAGCAGCAATGGTCATGGTTACATATACATAGTTAGTCTGGTTGAAATAAGACAAACGTCCATCTAGTTCAACCAAAAAAAGGGAAATAAATGTTTATACAATCCTATACCCACAGTTGATACAGAGGAAGGCAAAAAAACAATAAAGCATGATCCTGTTTTCTCCAGCGGGATAAAAATTCCTTCCTGATCCCCCAAGATGCAATCAGATATTCCCTAGATCAACTATACCTATAAATGTTAGTATTCAGTTATGAGATGTACATTCAGGAAAGAATCCAGGCCTTTTTTTTTTAAACAATCTAGAGCTGGCCAGAACTGGCTCTTGAGGGAGTCTATTCCACATTTTCACAGCTTACTGTGAAGAAGCCTTTCTGTATTTTCAGATTAAGTCTCTATTCCTCCAGACGCAGAGTACCCCCTTGCCCGCTGTGATGATATTAAAGTGAAAAACTCTACACCATGTTCATGTTGATCATATCCCCCCTAATCTCCTCTTCTCAAGTGAGAATAAATTCAGTTCCTCTAATCTTTCCTCATAGCTGAGCTCCTCCATGCCTCTTATTAGTTTGGTTGCCCTTCTCTGTACTTTCTCCAGTTCCCCAATGTTTTTTTTTTGTGTGAATTGGTGCCCAAAACTGAACTGCATATTCCAGATGAGGTCTTACTAATGATTTGTACCGGGGTAATATGATATCTCTCTCTCTGGAGTCTATACCTCTTATATTACAAGAGAGGATTTTGCTCACTTTAGAAACCGCAGCTTGGCATTGAATGCCATTATTAAGCTTGTGATCTACCAGAACCCCCAGATCCTTCTCCACCATTGATTCCCCCAGTTGTACCCCCCTAGAATGTATGATGCATGCCTATTCTTAGCCTTTAACCATGTGATCAGCTGTGTCCAATGACACAGCAGATCACAATGTAAATACAGTTGCTGGTTATCGGCTGCAATTTCCTCACACTGTCGCAAAATATATTAACAAAAAATGTCAACTCTATTATTATTGCATGAAGTTAATACTTGCATAATGAAGTACTTTGGGTTTTATATTACTATATTCTATCTCCATATACATATTTATTTTATCTATATTAATTGGTTTTAACAATGAATACATATTGGTATATATTATGGATATTATGTTTTCAAAGTTATAAATAATTAGTTTGAGTTCATTATATTACGTCTGTATGCTACAGAAGAAGTTAGATAATTAAGAAATCTCTGTCAGCACCTGTGGTGGTGAGCTCTTAATCCACAGCTTGGGGTTCCCCGGGGCGTGGAGTCTAAGCCCCAGCCTGCTTGTTCACCAGAGCCCCTGATGGTGGGGATGGACTTGGAACAGGCTGGAACCAGGTTGCGGCCCCCAGGTACACCCAGCTGTTGTAGAAGAGACCACTAGTGGGAGCAGGGTGCAATGAGAGTAGACTAGGAGATCCAGAAGACAAGCCGAAGTCGGGACAAGCGGAAGACAAGCAAGGTCAGGAATGAAGCTGGGGTCGGTACACAGGTGGACAATGTAGGAGAGAAGTCAGGGACAAAGCCGGGGTCGGTACACTGAACCACTAGACCGGATACTTGGAAGCCCACTGGGGAGCATAGACAACAAATGTTGCTCAGGCAATGTGGGACAGACTGAGCATGTCCTAAATAGACAGGCAGACAAGGAGGCGGGCCAGGACGTGATGAAAGGGAAGAACATAAAACCCAGGGAATACCAGCCGGTGCCCATAAGTGAGCAGAGAGACACACACATGTGAAGGAAACACAAACAGCAAGGAAGTAAGACAAAGCAACAGGAGGCTGCAGGCTAACTTGTGACAATCTCAGTACAAATGACCTCACCGAATGTCTGTAAGATGTATAGGTAGAATGTTTTTTTTCCTTTCTCCAGAATCACTTTGGTAATGCATTATTTTCAGTGACACTGGTCCAAGTTTGTCTAACCAGTTCTATCACCTCTTAAATTTACAGTTTTTACTACAAGCAAGGTTTAAAGGTCAACACAGTGTGAGAAAACGCCAAAACTATTCCTAATCCTATACTGCCCACTTCATGTGATTAGGAAAGAAAATGATATCTAGTGTGACATCAATATTAGGCAAAATAAGCAATGCCCACCTAGTTTTTTGGGGAGATAAAAGTTAAGAAATGGACAGAGATGAACACAAGAGAGGAGGCAAGAAAACAGAGACACACAGAAACACACACATTAGCTGGCAAAACAGCTGACATCACTGATACCAGAGAAAATATTGGTAATGTATAACTTTCATTTTTCTGCAAGCAGTTTGTACCAGCATTTTACCTCCAGCTAAATCATTTAGTCTGATATATGGATAGCACCGGAGTTGATGTGAAATGATTTTAACTGTAGTATTAATATTTCAATTCTCTGGGGGGAGAATTCTCTTTTAAATATCCCCGAAGCTAATTTCAGCTTCTAGTCAATGGTTTATCTGGGTATACATGACAAAGTAGACAACTTAGTGGAACATTTGATTTGCCAAGGTACACGTTGAGTTTTGAATATTTGGTTGTAGAGAGATCACGTGATCGATTTGCATAGCTGTTGTCATATGCTGCGGAGTCACTGAGAGTTTTATACTCAGCATTTCTAGACAGTTGATTTTAATTCATTAATATTTAAAAAAATAATTGCTGGTTCGAATTTGTAACCATTATTTTGGATTAGATCATTGTACTGCTATTTTAATTTTTTTTATTATTTATCATCAGTTATTATAATTTATTACCATTTTGCACTGATTTTTATTATTAACAAATATATATTTTTGCACATTATTGCTTTTTATTCAATCTTCAAATTAGCACAAATAAAGACCTCGGATTATCAGTTGATTTATGAAACCTAGTATGGAATTTCCTTAAGTCCAGATCCTTGCCTGTTTTCATAAATTATATATTGATTATTTTCTCAGAGCTAAAGTTCTGACCCAGCCCTTGTCCTTGAAAAATATGCTCTCTTAAAGTTCAGTGTGTTTTTTTTCTTTCCAGTATGTGTTTGTTGCTCACACCTTACCATGTTATGGTTACTGCTACCCAGATGTTTTTATATTAACATTATTAATAAGCTCTGCATGGTTTGAGATTACCTGGTCCAGCAGAGCATCATTTCTGTTTGGGGCCTCTATGAACTGTCCCATAAAATTGTCTTGTAATAGGTTTAGACATTTTTGTCCTTTAACTGTTCCAGCAGTGCCATTTTGCAATCATAATTGATAATTAATAATTAAATCATAGTTCTCTTTATGCACCAAAGCTTCCAATTCACCTATTTCCATGGCAAACTTCTGCCATTAGTGAACAAACACTTTAATTTATTATCACATTTTGCTTTTGTGTTTTGCATATCTTTTTAAGTAGTACACATAGTACTATAATTTCCAATAGTTATTTGTAACATGGAAACCTTCTTCCACCCTCCATTAATGTCTGACTCCTAACTGACCTGTCCCTCCCATTGAATTCTAGTTCACCCTCCCCTCTCAATCCTAGTGGTAAGTCTGCTGGGGTAGTGCCAAAGAGGGGGTGATTGTTTTTTCTTTTAAACTGGAATTCCACATACCCTATAGCAACTACACAGAGTTTATCATTCACAGTCTGGATAAAATAACAGTATATCCACATCTCACTGATTGTTATATGCCCCATTTTTAAATTATATAGTGCAGATGCTGATGTGGTCATAAAAGTGTATGATTATGTGCATACCTTGTTCTCCTGCAATCATTGTTGGGAAGAAAATTGTCATCTGTTTCTGGAGAGCGGGCTGTAAAGATAGGCATACAAACATCTCATAATTCTTACAAGGGATTACTTACATAAGTTAAAAAAAAAAAAGAAACAAAAAAGAAGTTTCACATTTCACCAGACTTCCAATAGATGTGCTAAATAAGAGAAGGCCAAGGTACCATGTAAGCCAGAGGAACTAAAGCTAAAAAATATGCAAGTACTTACTTGGATAGTCCTGCTTGAATCGTGTTAACACAAATTGATCTGAGTTATCATATCCCCAGGTATCTTGCATACTGGGAACATCTACAAACAGAGACAACACATTATAATTACAGTGTAAGATAATACCAACCAGGGGTGGACTGACCATTTGGAAACTCGGTTGGAAACTCAGGCACTGCCTGAGGGCCCGGGGTCAGTAGGGGGTCCCATGAGATGCCCTTGGTACCTTTTTCATAGGCTTTTTTGAGTTTGGGAAAGGACACAGGGGCCCCATGATCCCCTATTGCCCGGGGGCCCCATGAGTTGTCAGTCCGCCCCTGATACCAACCACCACCACCTGTAACATTTAAACTGACTATACACATGGCAAACCAATGGAGTGATTGTACTTTCAATTCCATTTTTGTTGAGGGCTCAAAACTATCAAAGACATAGGAGTAGATTGACTAAAACTGGAGCACTCAGAACCTGGGATATCTGTGCATGGTAACCAATCAGCCTCTAACTTAAGCTTTCTCTATTAAGCTTTGGCAAAAAAAAATGGAAGCTGATTGGTTTCTTAACAGAGTTGTACCAGCACCAGATTTTGCACTCTCCAGTTTTAGCAAATAATCCCCATAGGATGGTGGTTTCAACTGATCCCAAGGAAATGAGATTGAAATTATCTGATTAAACTAGGCAGAAAATCAGATTGCTTTCCATGACATTGCCTCCTTTTTTACCATTTTTGGTAAATTTTTTGCCCAGTTTCACCTTTACAATCAACTTTCACCTTTACATTCAACCAAATTCTAGTGGTTGATCAAACTCAGGCATAGTATATTGTGGTAGAGTCCTTAGCTTCTGGCAATTACTTGCAATCTTATTTTTGATTCCCAGTGGCTCAAAATGGTTGAAATAAACTACATTTGCAACAATTATGGCCAGCCTCAGAAAAAATCCTAGATATACAAGTAGGGATTTTCCATTTCATGGGACAAGAATCATTTTAACTAGCTACACCACAACTGGCAGCTCTACCCAAGAGGTTCATGAGCTGCAAAACACCCCTCACATTATCATGAAACGTAAGCCCAGCAATTCTGCACAGAAACACCATTTCTACATTACTTCTACTTGCATCTATACCTGATTCTTTCAGTCATAAAACCTAAACTTATGAATGTAGGTAATGACAAGGCCAAAGACTGATCAGTCAATTGTCTTTAAAATACCCCAAACTCCTTCATAGCAATGGACATACAGATTTAATTCCAGGTCTGTTATTATCAAGGATTAACCTATGAACAGTAGCACAAAAACAAGCTGACTTACGTTGTTTGTGATAACAAGGCTGCATATTACAGCTCTCAATAACACCTGGCCTTTCAGGCTCATAGGCTTCACAAGTCTCTGGTTCATAGAAGTTTCTGTCATTGTCAGCGCAAACCACTTGACGTTTTCTTATGCCATTATTGCAGCTTTTAGAACACTATACAGTGAATATAAGCACGGCAGACATTCATAAAATGTTTTAATAGTCAAGAAATTAAGAGTGAATCAATGCAACACACCAAGAGTTATTAGAGACTGTTATGACATACAGACTGTAGTAGATGCTATTAAGGGCCTTAAAAATTACATGGTCAAACCATCTAGGTTTAGCAAATTAATATCCCCTATCAGGCGACTGAATTGCAAAATAATAAATTGGAAATTATATATATATATATATATATATATATATATATATTAGTAATAACTAAAGATATAATTGCAATCACAAGTTGAATGCTATAAAAAAAAAATACATGTGCAATCACTACATGCAGTTACCACTATATCCTTTAAAGAATTAAATGTGAATTTCAATCATTTCAACCACCAATATTTGCAACCAAGCTAGAAGATATTTATTTTACTATGCTTGGACCAAAATAAACAGTTTTAGAAGGTGTTATGCAATGTTTCAAATGGTCTTGAATGTGTACTACCAATGTTATACATGCTCACGTTATCAGTCAACAGCACTTTACGTGAGGACAACGTCTGTCGGGATTCCTGCAGATCGTTGCTCCCAGAGCCACTGCTTATTAGTTAGTTTATAACATTACCAGCATGGAGCTCTTGTGAGTTAATTCAATTTGGTAGTGAATTTGACACAGTGTGGTGGTGTTTTAAAAGCACAAATATTTATAAAGATAACAAGGACTTATATTTGCATTTATTCGTGGATATTTAAACATGGACACATTGTCACTCAAATATTAGTGATTACGGATATATGATATATAATTGATGAGATTTAAGATATAATTGTTGCACTTGTTATATCATATATATTTTTTTACATATTAGTATTTTGGCACATTAAGATTGTGTTTGGTAGATAAGGTCTGCATTTTGGATGCGATATAATCGCATCCTGAGGAGCGCTTGTCTAAAGATATTTGCAGTTTACTATTCTTGGTTTCCAAGTATTAGCTGCTCCTCACTTCCCTTTAATTTTTTAAGAGTGTATGTATGTCCATTGGCGTCGTCTAAAACTAAGATACATATTCTTATTTCTTATTTCTAAGCTCTAATTCACAGTGAAGGTTGGTTGTGATGGGCTACTGCACATATAAAGCAGCACATATTAATAGGAACTATTTGCTGTATAAGATAATTTATATAATTGGCTTTATGGTGGAACTGCACAAAGTTTGGGAAACACTGCTCTACTGACAAAGGATTGAATAATTGATTGACCTTTTAGTCTACAGAGGTAAGAAAATCTACATCTTGAAATGTGAAATCCATGTATACTAAAAGTGTATGATATATAAAAAATAACATTTCTCACCAAGCCCCACTCTCCAATGTGCCAGCCAATTTCCTGAACACAGTTTTCACCATAACACAGCTGGCTGTCTGAAGGCTTGACCTGATGTGTACAAGCTGTGTCCTGAACGATGGCGCCAGTGTCTGTTCGGCAAGTTACTGTTCGTTTCTGTATTCCTTCTCCACATTCTGCTGAGCACTGGAAGACAATACCTGATTTTTAATAACATATATATTTTTATTTTTTTAAAAATCATGACACGAGAAATCATAGTAATAAGAGAAACAAAGCAAGAGATGGAGAAAGATAGATAGGTAAATACCATTAAATAGCATAACTTTGTAGCGCCAAACCTGAAACACCCCAAAACTTAAACAGCTGTATGAAGAGAGAACTGAGAGTGACAACATCATGTCTTTTGTTCCTAGCTTTTGTCATATCGATAGAATTTGTGAAAATGAATAATAAAAAAACATGAGAAGATGTAAATACACTGCTCAAAAAAATTAAAGAAACACTTTGAAAACACATCAGATCTCAATGGGGAAAAATATCATGCTGATATCTATACTGATATAGACCAGGTAATGTGTTAGAAATGTAAGGATGCCCCATCGTTTGATTTTCCGGGTGTCTTTGAATTCAATCCTTTGTAGGTTGATAATTTTCCATCAAAGTGAAAAAATGATGCAGCAAGCTAGTCCTTTTTGCTGAAATTTCATTGCACCAACTCAAAATGGTACTCAGTTTGTATGGCTCCCATGTGCTTGTATACATGCCTGACAACGTTGGGGCATGCTCCTAATGAGACGATGCATGGTGTCCTGGGATATTTCCTCCCAGATCTGGACCAGGGCATCACTGAACTCCTGGATAGTTTGAGGTGCAACTTGGCGTTATCGGATGGACCAAAACATGATATCCCAGAGGTGTTCTATTGAATTTAGGTCAGGTATGTGTGGGGGCCATTCAATAGTATCAATTCCTTCATCCTCCAGGGACTGCCTGTATACTCTCACCACGAGGCCGGGCATTGTCGTGCACCAGGAGGAACCCAGGACCCACTGAACCTGTGTAGGGTCTGACAATGAGTCATCCCGATACCTAATGGCAGTCAAGGTGCCATTATCTAGCCTGTAGAGGTCTGTGTGTCCCTCCATGGATATGCCTCCCCAGACCATCACTGACCCACCACCAAAACGGTCATATTGAACGATGTTACAGACAGCATAACATTCTCCATGGCTTCTCCAGACCCTTTCACGTCTGTCACATGTGCTCAGGGTGAACCTGCTCTCATCTGTGAAAACACAGGGCACCAGTGGCAAACCTGCCAATGCTGGTGTTCAATGTCATATGCCAACCGAGCTCTATGGTGCCGGGTAGTGAGCACAGGGTCCACTAAAGGATGTCAGGCCCTTAGGCCACCCTCATGAAGTCTATTTCTGATTGTTTGATCAGAGACATTCACACCAGTGGTCTGCTAGAGGTCATTTTGTAGGGCTGTGGTGGCAGTGCTCATCCTGTTTCTCCTTGTACAAAGGAGCAGATAGCGGTCCTGCTAATGGGTTAAGGACCTTCTACGGCCCTGTCTAGCTCTCCTAGAGTAACTGCCTGTCTCCTGGAATCTCCTCCATGCTCTTGAGACTGTGCTAGGAGACACAGCAAACCTTCTGGCAATGACACGTATTGATGTGCCATCCTGGAGGAGTTGGACTGCCTGTGCAACCTCTGTAGGGTCCAGGTATTGCCTCATGCTACCAGTAGTGACACTAACCCTAGCCAAATGCAAAACTAGTGAAAAACAGTCAGAAAAGATGAGTAGGGAAAAAAATGTCAGTGGCCTCCACCTGTAAAACCATTCCTGTTTTGGGGGTCAACTCATTGTTGCCCATCTAGTGCACATGTTATTAATTTAATTAACACCAAAGCAGCTGAAACTGATTAACAACTCCCTCTTCTACTTAACTGACCAGATCAATATCCCAGGAGTTTCATTGACTTGATGCTATACTCTGATTAAAAAGTGTTCCTTCAATTTTTTTGAGCAGTGTATTTCAGTAAGCTAGGTTGATTTTTTTTCAGTGATTGTAACTATACATTGTATTTTTTGACTAGGAAAATAATGATATAATTATACTGTACACTCATTTCCATTTTTTGGAGTTGTCCAAAAAAAAATCCTCTTACTGGAAAGATGTACAGAAGGGCACTGTCTGATAGATTTTTACTACATATAAATCGGATCCTGCTAACATACTATTAATCATCCTTGTAACCATACAGTCAAACAGAGAGCACACTGGCCTAGTACATTAATCTTAAAACATATTTTTATTTTTGTAAAAGTATTATACTCAAAAAATAGCGGCTATCACAAGCTCATAATATAAAAAACAGCACAGTCCAAGCCACGATTCATCATGTCACATGACAGGGCAATAGGACCTCCAACAAGTTAATGCATTTCAAGGACTAGCCTCTTCCTCAGAGGCAACAAGACTGACTTTTATAAGATGGTGTTAAGACTATTTGTGACAAGTGGAAGCGTCTCCGACCTACCCAGTGGGTGGGAACTGGCTCCACATGTCCTGTCAATCCCAACAAAATAAACAAACTTATGTGCATCAACTAGACTTGCCATACATAGCACTGCTTATGATCAACCAGACAAGTCATTATTCATATTAATATATTGTGTAGGTGTACAAGTACAAGCAGAAATAAAGATAAAAATATTGATAAGAAAAAAAAAAGAAAACCTTTTGTACCATCCAAAACCTGTCCCATGAGCAACATGTTCCACATTAACCGCCCCACATTCTCTCCACACAGAGGATAATGATCATGTTGGTGTAGCTGTAGTTTTAGGTTAATAGGCTTGCTTACCCATCTATCTCCTACTGCTCCCTTAGGATGGATGCTCATGTAGTACTCATATATGGCCTCTGAGATGAATGGTGCCCACACCATAGTGCACATGCAGCTGGCTGGAATGCATGCCCAATGCCGCTGTCCCAAAAGTGTAGGCTCTGTGCGTTCCAGCTGGTGCACAGCAGATCTGGCTACAGTTTGCCCATATAGCTGACTCCAATGATGGCAAAGGGGGCTCTAGCCTGACACACTCCACCGGCCCAGAAATCAGGCTACAAACCTGAAACAGGGCCATTCCGGTCTAAGTTCTCAGGTGGTGTGCACCATCTGCTGTAATCCTTCACAAAGAGGGGACATTTTGAGACACATGGTATCCTTGGACTGTTTTCCATCCACATATCAGGATATGCTCCCCACTCATGTCACTGATTGAGTGTCCCCCAGCTTGGCCTGGTTCGATTTCAAGGTTGCATAGTCAGACTATGAGATAACCCAGATTTAAAGTATATCACCTCAAGTGAGTCTGGAAATCCTCTATGGAAAGGTGAGGTCATTACAGCTCAGCATTTCCACCCCTGATGCTTTATACCTTTGCCACTTTTTAATCTTCCCTATCTAACCTCAGGACCCTACCTACTCTTCCCTCCACTTACCTTCACCCCTCTCTCCACCCCCTCCCCTTTTTTAAATTCTTCTTTCTTTTCTTTCTCTCCTCCTCCTTTCTCTCCTCCCCCTCTGCCCACTATAAGCTCCGCTTAGCCCCTGGGGAAGACATCAGCTTATGTATGTTAAAATAAATACCAGATCCTTTAAGTACAGACAGGCCTTCGGTTTACATGATAAATGAAATGGCTGTTACTCAGGGAAAGTAATGGCAAGGTCTATATCAGACGTTAAACAACAGGGAAGGAGTATCAGAAATGTACTATATGCAATATCTGTAACTAGGTTCCCTGTTGTAGGTCTACATACTAACAATGAGACATTCATATGTTTGCCTGTGAATGTACTGGTTGTGTTGTCCTAAATAAAGAAAAAAAAAAAAGAAAGAAATATACTGTAGATGTGGATTTCCTCTTTAAATATAATTGAATATGGAAGTTGGCATTGCAGACTTCACCTTCTGAAGATGCTAGTAGCATGGATATCATCTGTCAACAACGAATTTCTAATCTACACGCTTGTTCTTTATAGAAAACATGGCAGCATAGAAATATAGAAATGTCTTGCTTCTGAAAGTATGAACTCTGAGGCTTTCATCTGAAGCCTTACTTTGCTACATACTGTGATGTTGCCCCATAACACATGCAGCCAGTAAAATCAGAACCTTAAATCTGTATATTTGTAGCAACTTGGTGATGTTAAGTAGTTGGGTGCGAAGAGGAATCACAGCCACAAAAAGCTTACATTTCTACAATCAGTTGGGCTTTTGCAGTTGCTATATTGTTTCACGGACGTTTTTTCTTTTAAAAAAAAAAAAGCTGTGAAAGACCTCATTGTGAAATTATTACACAGGATTTATATAGTGCCAACAGGTTACGCAGCTCTTTAGAACATGAAGGTACAGTTACAATACAATTCAATACAGGAGGAATCATATGTGGAAGGTGGCACTCACTGTTGTCCATTGGCCTGTGTTCCATTTAGCGCATGCTCGGAGATTGCAGATCTGTTGGGTGGTTGGCTTTTCTATAAACGCAGTGCACTCTGCATCGTTTACCACTTGGTGGGAGGCTCGGCCTTCATAAGAAATGCAGTACACTGATCGAGTCTGAGTGCCACCACCACAAGTGGCTGTGCATGGTCCCCACTCACCAACCTTCCAGCTGAAAGTTATATGAAAAGCGTGAAGATGTTATAAAAATATTTACCCTACAGAAAGTTTGAAACAGAGCATCTGGCAATTAAGCTGATCATTCCATGAGCCACTTTTTTGAAGTTTCGAGAGCTCTCCTAGCATTCAATTTGTTTTTAAACCTGGAATTTAAATCTAAAGGCTTATATGTAAAGTATCATTATATCAGGTAAAGTGTTACTAAACTCAGGACCCTGTATTCACTATATCCGTTCTCCCACAGTACATACAACATGAAAATGCAATTATGTTAGTAAATAAAAACTGCTAAATATCTTTTCTCATCAGTAGTATATAGCAGTCTTGTGACTTCAATCAGTGTTCAGCCCAGCACTGGTTAAAGCTTGTAGGAGGAGTTTTCATTCTGCTCACTGTCCTATGAGACTACTCTGGACAGTGCTGATTGGCCCTGTGCTGATCACATGCACCCTCCCAAAGGGAAAAAAAAAACCTCTCATACACACTGAACTGAGCATGTGCAAAGTGACTCCTAGAGCTCTGTACTATCAGCGAATGGATTGGGGACAATAAAAGAAGGGGAGGATCAGTGAAGACAGGATCAAACAGGCTTTTTAAACAATGTGGAGGATTAACCCCTTAGGTTCCACAGTGAGTATAATAAGCATACATTACTGCACATACAGCCTGATTTTATTGTTGTGGGTTTAGTAACACTTTAATGTTTATTTCAGTGTTTTGTGATCTGATTTTCACATTTGTACACGCTTGGTCTTCCAATTTTTTATTCTACTAAATAAAGAGATGTGTAAATTATCTGCTAGGGGGAGGTCTTTATTTCATTGCACTTACTCCCTTGCCTAATAACTACTGAGATATTAACCTCCTAAGAAGTGTATCCTTTGAGAGGCTCACATGACTAAATGCTGATCCTATAAAAGATTACCCATAGTACAGAGACATGGTAATGTTTTGGCAGAATTTTAAACTTATGATATGCAGGCTGAACATTAAAAAGAACGTCCAGAAAAAAATGAACATTTAAAGTCTGCTGATATGTGAGGAGTTAAATACAAGAAGGTGTTTGCCACCTCCTGGATCTCTCCCTTTTGCTGAGAATTCTCTAGTTCATTGAGCTCCAATAGTATAGTTTGTGCTCTGAGAGGAGAGTTACAGCTCTCCTACACAGCAGCCACTCTGCCTGCCCTCCTCTCTCCTGCCTGCCCTCCTCTCTCCTGCCTATTCACAGAAAGCTTTAGATGTTGTGAATGGGTTCACAGAATGCAAAGTGTTCAGTGACTGGGGTGTCAGGGCCCCCCTATAATACTCATCGATACAGTGAATTGTAAAAAAAAAAAAAAAAAAAACCTCTTTACACTTAGCTAATTGTGTGAATTCAGATTTAAAAAATTTATTTTTTTTCCCACAGTTCTTTAAAATAACTGCATATTACTTTTTCACTATAGGTTCACTATAAAACTGCACAGGGTTGTGGCCAAATTGGGTGGCAATTGGGTCAGTGGCATTCTTCTTTAGATACGATTGCTTTAATGCAAAATGCTCTTTTCAACAAGTATATTACATGCAGCATATAGAAAAAAAAAGGTTTAAATCTTTGCACCAGACATGTAAGACCTTAAAGATTTAAGCACCCACTGCACCAGACCCACTTCCAGAGATCAGCAGAATGTAAAAACCCAAGGAGAAGCATCACACACTTTTTATTGATTAAATATTTTTCACATTTTGGTTGTGCATTAAACTTTTTAAATAAGTTTGGTTGCATTTTCTATACATAGATTATTACCATAAATTAATTTATCAGGGAAATGCTTCTATGGATTAAAGCAAAATGTTTATCCAAATTAAATTCTACAGTGTGAACAAGATTTTTGCACAATATTGCAATCTTGCAAATAGTAATATAAAACTTTAATCAATATATTTTACAGCCTATATTTTGCTGCTTTTATACAAAATAAAGTTTCTGGTCTGGCAGCCCTGAGCCAGCAACCGACTAGAGTATTTAAGAGATGGCATGTGGAATCAAGGAAATCTTGAATATTGTATGTGTGTATTTTAAGTCTATGTATGGCGTAATTACATGTCAATGATGGAACAAAAAAATGTTTCCAGCAATGTTGATCCATAAAATAAAACAAAACTTTAGCAGATGCCAATTCCCCAAAGTTTGTATGAACTCCCTGCATCATTTAATGCACAAATGGTCTGCAAAAAACATAGCTGGAGAGAGTAAGAAAGGTATTCATGTAATTTTCAAGTTTAGTTGGTCTTCAGTATTCACTGCATACATTCTTCCATGTAAAAGCGAAGCTTGAAAAATACAAGGCACTTCACTTATTGGTCACCAAGAGACTGTAGGTTTTAGTATTACCCTTCAGAAGACACTGAAGAGGTCAGCTGGTTAATGCAAAGCTGCACCCAGTAAGAATATTACTTCTGTTTACCTGGTCATTTTTGTGTTCACTATTCGACTCCACATTGTTGGCGGATATATGTAAGACATCCTTTTACACAGAATAAACACATATAAATGCATTGTATGCACAAAAACTACATGTACATTTACATTACAGTGCAAGTATTTTTTTTGGTGAAGAAGAAAAGAAAGTAGATTGTAGTTGTCCACTGTAATGAGTTTTTCCATGTGGTGGACAAGAAACCATACTGATCAAATTTAAGATTAATTGGATTCGAAAGGACTTCATAAATAAAAAGATCGAATTTTCAGGAATAATCAAATCAGTGAGGACCTATTTTAAGGGACAAGGAAATGTAAAATCCAAATAAAGAAGGATCTTTGCAGAGATCGCTGACCTTAGTCATTAAAGTAACACAAAGCCCTGGGTATAATTCACTAAACTTTAATCGCATGAGTCAAGTCAATCACATGACCAAGATGAGATACTGAAAATGTCAATTCACTATTGTTAGCATGCAGTATTCGCCAAGAGTAGGAAAAACACTTAGTAAATACTGCATAAAATGACCTTAAAGTCAATTCACAAAAGGAAATAAATAATGAAATGCATGCGGTAATTAAGTAGTGGTCCAGGCTTGCAGTACATACTGTTATCTGTCAGTACTGTCATGGGTTGTTAAGTGGCCGCTGAGTCCCTAACAACCTATGAGTCATCAGTTGTCAGCGGGGTTCCCCACTGACAGCTGAATATAAAAAAAAAAAAGAAAAAAAAAATTGCCGGCAATTAAAAAAAAGAATGGTGTGGGGTCCCCCCCAAAATCCATACCAGACACTTATCCGAGCATTCAGTCTGGCAGGTCAGGAAAGGGGAGATGAGCGAGCACCCCCCTCCTGAACCATACCAGGCCACATGCCCATGATATGGGGGGGTGCTTTGGGCAGGGGAGCTTCCCCCCAAAGCAGTTTGTCCCTATGTTGATGGGGACAAGGGCCTCTTCCCCACAACCCTGGGCTGTGATTGTGGGAGTCTTTGGGTGGGGGGCTTATCAGAATCTGGAAGCCCCCTTTAGCAAGGGGGCCCCCAGATCCCCCCCTATGTGAATGAGTATGGGGTACATGGTATCACTACCCATTCACAGAAAAAAAAACTGTAGTGTAAAAAAGACAGGCTTTGACAAGTTCTTTATTAAAAGAAGGAAAATAAAAGAATGTCCCTTAAAGTAGATCCAACGCCAATCATGATGCCTGCCGCTACCCGGAAACGTGAAAAAAAAAAAAAGTTCCACTCCCGACGTTGGCTCCTGGCCGTCTGACTGCTCCGCTGGCTTGACAGTTCTTAAATATGTAAGGAGAGGGGCCACCCAGTGACATCACGCACGTGACCTGCCCCATGTGACATCATTGACCCAGCATGCATTTCTTTTTTCAGGTCGGCGGGCATCGTGATTGACGTTGGATCTACTTCGGGGGATATTCTTTTGTTTTCCTTCGTTTAACAAGGGACTTGTCAAAGCCGGTCTCCTGTATTTTTTCACACTACAGGTTTTTTGTGAATGTACCCCATACTCATTCACATGGGGGGGCGGGATCTTGTGGCTCCCTTGTTACAGGGGGCTTCCAGATTCCGATAAGCCCCCAGCCCGCAGACTCCCACAACCACCAGCCAGGGTTGTGGTGAAGAAGCCTTTGTCCTCATCAACATGGGGGCAAGGTGGTTTGGAGGGCATGTGGCCTAGCATGGTTTAGGAGGGGGGGTGCTCGCTCACCCCCCCCCCCCTTTCCTGACCTGCCGGGTTGCATGCTCAAATAAGGGTCTGGTATGGATTTTAGGGGGAACCCCCACGCCTTTTTTTAAACTTTTGGCATGGGGTTTCCCCTCAATCCATACCAGAACTGAAGGGCTTGGTATGGATGGATGGAGGGGGGGACCCCATGTCATTTTTTAAATAATTTTTTAATTGCCAGCAATCCTTTCTTTTACATTCAGCTGTCAGTGAGGAACCCCGATGACAGCTGAAACATTAACACATGGTTGTCACTATTAAAATACCGCACGACTTGATCAAATAACTCGTGACGTATTTTAGTAGTGTTTTTTAGTGAATTCAAACTTTTTTTTTTTTTAATGCTGTGCAGTATCCTACCACATACTGCAATGCAGTAAGATACTGCTTAGTGAATTGTGCCTAATATCCTTATGCACCAAAAATAATCCATACACATTCACTACCTAACAGACCTGTAATCTATTTTTTAAAAATAATTTCTTACGTGTGCCTTCTTATAACATCCTTCATGAACTCTTGAACCTATACTTTTCAACATCAAACTGTGCATGTTAGCTACAGTTAGGACCATATATATTTGGACACAGGCACAATTTTAGTTTTTTCAGGTATTTACCAAAACATATTCAAGCTATAGTTATATAATGGATATGGGCTGAAAATGCACACTCAGGTTTAATTTGAGGGTACGTACATCCAAATTGGAGGAAGGGTTTAAGAATTACAGCTTAGCCAGTAAGTAGCCATCCCCCCTTTTTCAAGGGACCAAAAGTAATTGGACAATTGAATCAAAAGCTGTTTCATGACCAGGTGTGGGCTACTCCTTTATTTATTGGTGAGCTCAACAACATAAAAAGGCATGGACGTCCACGGAAGACAACAGTGGTGGATGATCGCAGGATCCTCTCTATGGTAAAGAAAAACCCATTCACAACATCCAGACAAGTGAAGGACACTCTCCAGGAGGTGGGCGTATCATTGTCAAAGTATACAATCAAGAGAAGACTTCACGAGAGCAAATACAGTGGGTTCACCACAAGGTGCAAACCATTCATAAGCTTGAAGAATAGAAAACCCAGATTAGACTGCCAAAAAAAATCTAAAAAAGCCAGACCAGTTCTGGAAAAGCATTCTTTGGACGGATGAAACTAAAATTAATCTGTACCAGAATGACGGGAAGAAAAAAGTGTAGAGCAGGCTTGGAACAACTCATGATCCAAATCACACAACATCATCTGTAAAACATGGTGGAGGCAGCGTGATGGCATGGGCATGCATGGCTTCCAGTGGCACTGGGTCATTGGTGTTTATTGATGATGTGACAGAAGACAGAAGCAGCTAGATGAATTCTGCAGTGTTTAGAGATATACTGTCAGCCCAGATTCAGCCAAATGCAGCAAAGTTGATTGGACGGCGCTTCACAGTACAGATGGACAATGATCCAAAACACACTGCAAAAGCAACCCTGGAGCTTTTGAAGGAAAAGAAGTGGAATATTCTGCAATGGCCAAGTCAATCAACTGATCTCAACCCAATTGAACATGCATTTCACTTCCTGAAGGCCAAACTAAAGGCAGGAAGAACCACAAAAAAGAACAACTGAAGACAGCTGCAGTTAGAGCCTGGCAAAGCATTAGAAAGGAGGAAACCCAGTCTTTGGTAAGGTCCATGGGTTCCAGACTTCAGGCAGTCATTGCCAGTAAAGGATTCTTAACAAAATATAAAAAATGAACATTATATTTATGATTATATTCATTTGTCCAATTACATTTGAGCCCCTGAAAATGGAGGGACTGTGTATGAAAATGGTTGCAGTTCCTAAAATTTGTACTTAATATTTATGTTCAACCCCTTGAATTATAGCTGAAAGTCTGCATTTATTCTGGTGGCATACAGAGTCAAAAAGTATAAAAATTGTGCCTGTATCCAAATATATATGGACCTAACTGCATGTTCATGTGCACGGCTTTATGCACACTACAAGTCTCAGTCCCTAGTCCATTTCAGGAGCAGACAAAAGAGGGTGGCTACATTCATAGATGCAATGGGGAAGATTTACTAAAACTGGTGCAGCTGTGCATAGTAACCAATCAGCTTCTAGGTTTTATTGGTAAAGTTTAATTAAACAAGCTGAAGTTAAAAGCTGATTCTGTGTGCACCAGTAAATCTCCCCCAATGGGACCATGAAGGATGAACATACCCACCTTCTGACAGTAAATCTGATCACAGAAGCAAAACCAAAAGTAATTTGGAGATTTGGGGAAGGCTGGTAGAAGGTACTTTTTGAGTTAAAGAGTACTTGGATAGGTTTCTTTTGTTCTTTTAAACCTGAGTTTAGTGTCACTTCAGGAACAAGAATGAGAAAATCAGATTCTTAGAGTCATAAGAAAGAACTGACCAAAATACCAGTATTATGAGATAAGAAGAATAATCTAAAGACTTTGTCAAAGGGCCTCTAGTTAATGCACCTTTCCTACTTCATTTTTGTTTTGCAGGTAACATTTTTATATATCAGATACCATATTTCCACTGCTTTTCTGAAAATGAGTGACCACTAGAGAAGTGTGTAGAGCCAATCCAGGCAGCTTGCTTTGTTACCTTGGTAGGTGCATAGAATAATGAAAAACAATGGTATGAATTTGCATTTGATGCCATTTTCAGACACATTTTAATGTATTATACAATAAATGTACTATTTTTCTATTTAGTAAGCAAGATCCTGTGCTTTTACAGATGAGTTTTTTCTTTTCAAAGTAAACCAAATCAGGTGGCTTTACAGCACTAGGTCCTTCAACCTACCAGGAGCTACAAACAAATGTGCCATAATAGCATTTTTACTCCACAAAGTCAGATGTTACCATTACAGTGATTCCTGCTCCTAGACTGCTACTTTTAGAAAAGGACATTGGGATCTCATGACCTAACTCCTGAAGACTATTGTTTTCGTATTTTCACAAATACAACATAATTTTTTTGAGGGAAAGTTTATATTGCACATTCCGGCCTTTCTGTTGCTGTCTTTATCCTAATGCCTTAACGTTTACTTGAAAATGGTAAAAGGATTGTTTTGCAGTTTTTGTCTTAAAAAACAAAGTATCAGAACACGTGCCCAGGATAAAGACTAGAGTTGTATGTAGTCCCTTGGGCCCAAAATGTTCAGAATAACAAGGGAAAGTGAATTATCTTGATGACGATTCCATTGATGCAATGATGGGAGGCAATAGCTGGAGTCAGGGCTGTATTCCTATGTGGGGACATGGGCCCAGTGGTAGATGTCAATCTGCTTCCCCTGTACTACACCACTGGATACATAATAAAATAAGCATAAATACAATATGCAGAATACATATCAAATGGATATTTGTAGTTGTGTGGTACTTTGAAATAACTGTAAAACAGATTATGGAAATCAGCAAAAAATGTAACAATTATAATAATGGATGTCTAAATTTAAATGTCTAAATTTATAGACAGAGTTTATATTATGTAAACTGGAACAAAACCATACTGCATTATCTCACCTTTTTGTCTGTGGGCATTGCTGAGTGCTGCAGGTTCGGTTGCTTGGTGGAGCTCGTTTGTCTCTACACATATAATCTGGGTAAGCCTCATTGTCTATTGTGCAGAACACTAAGCGGGATTGGTAACCTATAAGAGTATATATTTATAAATAAATAATCATAAAGCTAACACTAATAATGAAAAAAAAAAAAATCTTATCTGCATTCTCTTACCTCCTCCACACTCTGCACTGCATTCACTCCAAGAGCCATAGCTCCACTGGTAGTCATCTGTTTCCTCCTGGTTGGGTAGGTAGTATTGATATTGTATTCCACGGTTGGATTCTAGTCCAATGAGCTAAATTTAACAACAATTATTAAAGCCAATTAAACTATAATTGAAATGTCAGCATGGAGGATGATAATAGTTTTTTGGGAGCTCAGTTGCTATAAACTCCTACTGGAGTACCTAGTCCAGTGCCAGGGAAATTGCCATCTCTTTTACCTTCAGGCTAATGAAAATAATTTCTGTGACCCCCACCCTCTGAACTGAATATTCTCTTGTTTGGAGAGGGGTGAACGGACTGTATAAAGTAAAATAAGGCAGTGGCAGACACTCCCGCTTTTAGAATTAGTGTTCACAGATGTCAAAACAGCAAGCAGTGGGTACAAGGGAAAATGTCTTGCCTTGAAAATGCAGTTTATGTTTGCATTTACATGTACTTGTATTTGGGGGCAAAGATTAAATCAGGGGCACCAGAACACAACTTGCTGCATTACCAAAATTGCAATAAATATGCCAAACTTGGCGACTGCAGAAATGAACACAAGTGTACAAAGCTCCACAAGATCAAATCAAAATTCAACACTGCCTAGTAAAAAAAAAAACAAAACATAACAAACCAAAAAAAACACAAGCACTTACACTGTTTAAATTGACAAGATATAGATACATTTCTCATTTCCAGCGGTTCTGTGCATACTGAAGCTATAATACACAATAAGAAAGGTTTGTCTGTCCTTCATTTGTCAACATACCTCAATAACCAGGGGTTCTGTAGTTGGTCCCCTGGCTGTTAGGACCTCAGGTGCAAGGTCTCCCTCTGATCCTCGATAGTAATGAAGGATGGTGCTGGCTATGTGCAGAGCCCGGCTGTATTCTATAGTCCAATGTCCATTCAGGTAATACTCACCACGTACATTCTTTACAGCTGAGAAGAAAAACATATAACTATTAGATAAAATATACATTATTCTGTATAAGTTTTTCATAACAAAATGTTTATATGGTTTTCTTTTGTATATGTATTACTCTAAAAAAAATTCTATATAATATTACATTGCCGATTCATGCTAATGCTAATTTCCCTATCATGGTCCTTATATGCAGACTACTGTGAGCGCTAGTGCTACTGTCTTACATTAGTTTGAGACCGTTCAGTAGAAAGACTTGTGAAATTGGACTGCATGTCATCTGTGTATGAGAAAAGTTCTAGCTTTTAACAGACTCATAGAGCAAGTGCTATAATGCCTGTGATCATATAGGAGAGATTTCGGCTCAATTCCTCTCTCGATGACTATACATACTGAAAAAGGTAGGGATGGAAATATTTCACAAAAAGACAACAGAAGGCAATAACACATAACAGAACTGTCAGCTTTCTTCACACTTTTTAAGCAAAGATATATTTTTTTTGCACAGCCACAGGATATCTACTTCGCAGATAAAACATTAAATAGTAAATCTTGCCAAATGCCTAATAGGACCTCCTGAATACAACCGCCATCGTGTCGTCAAATTTTGTAAATTTGTAAAAAAGAACAAAATATTTTATGGTTAAATAAGTTATTTGATAATAACTTATAAGAATTTGCCTGAAAAATGTTAATACATGTATTATTTTGGAATAGATTGACCTCAGAAAATGGGGTTGATTTACGAACAGCAAACAGGTTGTTCACTTTGCAAGGGAAGTTGCACTTTGTTAGGGAGTTTTGCCCCAGAGCTTAATGAATGAGGTGAAGCTCTGCTGAATTCTGTCATCCAATCATGTGCAAGAAAAAAATCAAGTTTTTTTAATTTTCCTTGCACATCATTGACATTTCCCCACATTCATTAAGCTCTAAGGCAAATGTCTTTGCACAATGAACAGCCTATTTGCCTTTACTAAATCAACCACAACATGTTAATAAAGCAGTAATGTTTTTACCAATAAAGAGCTATGTATTATACCTTCATGTTTCTTGTAATAAAGTTTGGGTAATACATTGCACTTTAAAACTGTAATTTCCAGTTTAAAACTTGCGCGTTCATTCTGAATTTACCTAAAAAGTTCCTTGTGGGAGTGATTTCCTTCACCTGAATATTGACTGCTCCAGTTGGAATGGTGAAGAGTTGGCTGTATCCTAGAATACCAAAAGAAAATTCTAAATAATACTATTATATAGACATATTTTTTTTAATACCCTTTTTATCATATTATCCACGTTCTTGGGTTCTATAATATGTCCCACAGCCATTCCCACAAATTTTTTTTACAGTACACTAGCAACAGTATGCCCCTTTGTTGACCGTGTCGAATACAGAAGGTCTTGTCACTGCAGTGAAGAGCAAAGAAATGTGCACTGGTACAGTGGCAACAATCTCTAAAGCATATGTTGGCGCAGTGGCAGCAAATGCAGACGCAGGTGGTGTTGTAGTGGTGAGTGGAGAGAAGTGGTGAGAGTAAGTGGGCAAGATGGAGATCAGGAGCAGTGGTGAGAGTGCAGGAGGATGGTTGGTGTGCAGGCGCAGTGGTGGGGTTGTTTCAGGCATGGTGGTGAGAGAAGGGGGGTGCAGGCACAGGGTTTACACAGTCATTATAATCACCATCTCAGCAGCCCACAACACCAACTCCTGCGCCCAGCCTTTGCTGCTGGCCAGTAGGGCTGTATCTGGAGTTACAGCTGACAGCTTCTCACAGAGGCATCACTCACCACTTCATCTGCATGCACCCTCTTCACCACCACTGTGCCAGCAACCCCAACAACCCCACCCCCACCCTATTACCACTTTGCCAGCAACTCCCCTTCAGCAACACTCTCACTAAATGCTACTGCCACATATAAAAATTGCAGCAGGATATCAGTGAGTTAACAGCAGAGGAAAGGGAGAGTGGAATAGATTAGCTGTGGGGAGGAGGGAAGGGGTATGGAAACGGTCAGAAAATACTGCTTGAAAGTTTCCTTATCCATTAAGTTAAAGGAGAAGTACAGCCGCATCCTGGATCACAGCAGTGCAGCTCATTCTGCACTCCTGTGACCCGTTTTTCAGCCAACAGCAGGCTAAAGTCTGAGATGACGTCACTCAGCCAGTCCAGGCTGAGGAAAGATCCCCACTTTAAAGTCAGGATCCACCCAGATCCCTGGACCAACATCTGGCCCAGCCTCTCAGCGGTACGCCGAGAGCCTGAGCCAGCTGCTCCTGCTCCAGTGAGCGCGATGGGGGGGAGAAGAGCAGAAGAGCGATTACAGTCACCAGTTCTCTGCTCACGGAGCACTGAGATCAGTGGTCTTTGATCTCTCAGTCTTAGAGTCAACGGGGGACAGATGCAGCCTCGGACCAATGCTGCATCCATCTAGGTAAGTATGATTTCTTGAAAAAAAAAATTTTACTTCTGTTTTAAATTTTAGGTTTTTTTTTCAAAATATTACCAAATGATCCTTTTAAGAATAAAAGTGTCACACTTTGTACACTCTGATCTGCTTTAAAAAATATTTGCTTTGCTAAGCTCTCATAGATATGATATGTCTCCCGCACATCTCCTCTTCTCCTTCCCATCCTCAAAGAAATGACATCATGCACATTGTTTACATGTCTGCAATTGGAATCCTGGAGATGTAAATGATTCTTGCAATGAACCATCAACCAGAGCAAAGTTCTGGTGTTGCCGGGTCATTTCCAGCAAGTTCCCAGGAATGATTGTTATTTTTTACATCCTTACCTAATACTTACTTAAAATAATGATACAAAACTTTAAATAGTTTAGGAGAGAAGGGTACTAAATAATGTACACCGCTGCTGCCCCCAGGATTTCGCATGGACAGGAGCAAAAGAAAGGGACCTGAAGAGGCTATAGGGACAGCCAGCTATGCCACCAGAGGGGTAAATATTTGCATATGCATGCAGTGTATATGTATGTGCATAGATGGTACTGCTGTCTTATGTATAAGAGGGTGGTGGTGAAAATAATCATGGGGTGTGCTGTGTGGTGGGTTGTATATACTTGACTCCTGCACACTGGAAAGTGATCCACCACAGATTACTTTTTAGAGCTTTGGCTAGTGTGAACTTATCTTTAGTAATGATTAAGAGTATGTAAATATCCAAAGGTCTGGGCACAGGTGCCAATAGGGAACAAGAAAAAGGGCACATGGATATCATGCAATAAAAACAGTGTGTTTAATATTAATAATAGCAAATAAACAACTCAAAACATCACTAGGAAATCAGCATTTCTCGGACCAGTGTAATGCAATCAGCTGGCAGCCTGCATGCCAAGGTCAATGGTGGGGCTGTGATAGAGATTTTGCGACTGTCAATTAGTAACTCTCTAGACAGGTCCCGCTCTAAGATCTCTAACAAGTGGCAAAATGCAATCCCCTGACTGGCTTGGAAAATGCTTTTTCCCCATCGATGTTTGTGAGGTGCTTATCTGCTTTAATTATTAGACAATTTTTTACTGCGCAAAATCCGTATGCCTTTTTTATTGCTCTCAATTGTTAACATAAAAAAAAAAATTGTGCTTTGGCTTTATGAAACTTTTGTCCTCCTTGTGTGTACCTTGGGTGTCAAGGATTAATAACATCTGCTTACGGTGGACACTGCCTACACAGTATTGTGTGATTCTGTCTTTTTTCCTTTGTTTTTATGGGCACAGGTGCACCTTTTTTATCTTGAAGAAGTATGCTGTAATAATTAAAACATGCTATATTCACAACTGTGAAAATGGTATGATAATATTCGTTATAGCATGAAAAATATATAAATAAAACATTTGATATTATTAAAATGATATATACATAGTTAATTTAAAAATGTTTACTTGCCATGGAGTTCTTGTAAGATAAAAGAGCAATAGAAAGACCTAAGGAACATACCTTTTGATAATGTAGGTGTATCATAAGATCCTTTGACCTCATAGCAGGTGTTACCATCCCCTCCACACACCAGGCACCGATCCTCTCTTTTAGATGAATCCAGAACGTGGTCACAACCAACAGTCTAAGTGATCAAACCATCCAAATTCAAGATGTCACAAACAAAAAAAAGAAAATAAATAATTGTTAGGTAGAACTGCCAGTAGCTGGCCTATTAGCAAATGCAACAGTAGATTTATAATTGAAAAGTAATTCCTCCTTTATTAATATTCTACAAAATGAAAAAAGGAAATAAGCTTTACTCCCAAAATTGCTGAATATGCTCCATAATATGATAGAATTTTAGATAACTTACCTTACAGACCCCCTCTACACAGATGTCTCTTCTGCCTGGCTCACATGGGGTTCCATCAAGAACAGCACTCTTGTGCCTATAGTAAAAATTCTCTCCTTTGGGTATACAGTTTAACTCACACTTGTTGGATGCTTGAAATGAAAATGGAATAATGTATAACTTTCTCATTCAATTTAATATAATTTCACATTAGTCATAACCTTTATTCTTTTTTGTTTGGAACACCAATCAATATTTATTTATGTCAATGTTGTAAATTAGTGAGGTAAAAATGTACAAAACATTAGTACATTTATATACTTGAATATGTATGTCTAGGGTGCCAAGTGATTATCTTATGATTTGTTATCTGGCAAAAATTACACGGTCTTGGGTGGGTCCACCACATTAGGGGCCAGGTGGTGCCTTATGGCCGTAGCCTTCCAGAAGATGATTTCCGGTTTTAAAATCATCTTCCGGAAATGCTATCTAAGCATTTCAGACTCCACCATAACAGAGACCCCGCACTACTTAGATTTGTAGGGATTGACAAAGTGACCCCACATTGGAGAGGGACCCACAAGAAACGAGCTGTCTCTCAAATGGAGACCATGTGGGTTTACGAATTGGGCACTTTATATCCCATGGGTCATAATATAGAAGTTGACCTTAATTGTTTTATTGACAATAGCTGAAGTATTATCTTATGATGATTTTAGTCTGCAACAGCTTTTGTTTTTGACTTTTTACCACGGGTATTTTTATGACTTTTTACCACGGGTACTTTTATGATTTTACACATACATTTTATATCTCCATTTGCACACTACTCTGTTTTTTATGTAATTTATATGGCATATATAAAGGTTTGGGGGTTCTTGACAAAAAATTATGTTGTCTTGGATTACTCTGTTACTTTTTTTTTTTGCTACATTTACACCTATTTTGCTCCATTTTGGCAAAATAGGATTTTAACTATTATTATATTATTATTATCTTTTTATTTCTACTACGGATATTATATATAATAAATATTTAATATGGATATTACGTATAACAAATTTTAGTATGTAGTTTTAGTAAAGTTGGGCATTTACATTGGATTACTTTTATATGATTTTTACATTATGTTTTATATATATTTCCTTTTTTTCTGGTCTATAGTGGCAAGACACGACCAGAATCATTATTAATATTGTTACTATTATAATGTGTTTTAATTGCTGACAAACGTTACTAGGACATACAGAGAATGGCGTTCATTTGTTATGGATCTTTTAATGTTACTATTATCTTATTGAATTTTGTAATATACAATTCACTATATTCGTAATACTTAATAGCTCTATTATAATATAGCACAACGTTGTTAATATGCCCTGAACCATGCATCAGGAATAATGAGTTTGGGTATGTTAGCTATATTGTGATATACAAATTATACACACTATATTACTACAGTTTCCCCTTTTTTTCCCATGTTCAGTTGGTCTCTGAGCATTTGACGTTTATCCCTTACAGCTGGATGCTTTTACCCAGCCTATATGAAAAGATCCTATGACAAAATGGCACCAATGTGCTCGTGCGTTTTTGCCGATCATCGGCAAAATGGCGCCGATGCGCGCGCATGCATGCGCAGTAGCTGATCATTGGAAAAATGGCGCTGATGTGCGTGTGCACTAGCTAAAATTCAGGAAAATGGCGGTGGCGCGAAAATACAAGCGCCCAGCCTATTTAAAGCACTACTGTGGCACACATGACAGTGTTGATATTCCTCTGAAGACGTGCGGTCGCACGAAAGGCCTAAGGAATCAACACACTGTGACAACTAACCGCCGGAGCCATTTACTGGACCGGTGGTCATCTGTATTTACTGGTCAGTGTACCTATTTTATTGCAATGTGAAACTTAATAAATTGATTACTTTTGGCAATATTACGCTACGGGCACTTTCTTTATGGCTCCTTTGTGGAGCTTTTAAGTACACAGACCCTGGGAAGCACTTCACCATCCAGAGGAGGGGAATTCCTGTAATCAGGTGGCTGACCCTGCTGATCCTTAAAGGAGGCCTCTGGAATATATATCACCCAGTTACTGCTGAGCTGCCCACTTGGAGACGGATGCCCCAGATGCTTACTATGTTACCCTGATGCCCTTGGCTTTGGATATATCAATGCGCATGATCTATGCACTTCCGGTAAGCGCATAAACTGTTCTTTTGTCCTTTTACTTGGAGCACCGTAAAGAAGGATACGTTTACTGGCACCATAAATTGTACTAACTGCATATTGAGTCCGATTATAACTTGAACTATACCTATTTAGTGCTGCACTATTTTATTGCTTATTATATACCAGAGGTTTTATGTGGTTACCTGAGTGTTTCAGCTGCTATTATAGAGAAGCGCTCACTACTGCTACTTTTAATATGCACATACAATAAATTAGTGTCGCGCTCCACTAATAAACATATATAAAAAAAATAGAAGTTTAAATCAAAACATCGCAATTTTACACACATTACATAGATAGGTAGGTAGATAAATACAGTAGATAGATAGATAGATAATAGTTATGATAGCTTATGATAGTTATGATAGCTGATGATTAAAATCAACAGCGAATGATGCTACTGTGGTTATATACATATGTCACTTTATCTTTAGGTCTTAAATAGAAGGAACTACATAATTCCCGGTTTTTTTTTCTTTTCAGTACTTTTTTCCACAATGAACAGTGCATTACATGAAACAGCACCTGCCAAACCCAACACCTCCAACACATTTCACCTGGAAATAGGCTCAATTACACAGACCTATTTAGAACTTAAGCTAGGAGGGAGTGCAATGCAAGAGAAGGGTCTGGTGCATATAATGCACTGTGAAATAAAGCTTTTAGAAGGAAAAAAAAATATTTATCAGTAATTTGAGCTCTGTTGTGGGGGTTATGACAGGGCCCAGTAGCCATGGCTTCTACAGCTAGTGGTGGAGCTGCTTTGAGTGGTGCCCTCTTGTTCCTGCTTTAGGTTATCTTTCTTTACCTCCATAGTATGGCAGCCACTTGTATCTTTTCCCCTGGAATTCCATGCCATCATATTCTGAACACTGCTTGGCACGGAAATCTCGTGAGCCATCAGGACAGTCCTGTAAGTTGAGAAGTACAATGAATATGATACACAGACAAACTGAAGTATAACTAAGATGAGAAGCTATTTTTTAGATTTTGTTTATAGAGTGGTGAGAGGTTAAAACAACTTTCAGGTTTTGAATTATTGTCTATGTTGCTGTTATAGAGAATTAAAGTGACATTAAAATCCAAAATGTTGAGTTGCCACAAAAACAGAAACAGAGAGGAAATCTTTCAAATAGGACATATCTTGTGACATTTGTCTAAGAGGAGATTTCCCTCACATTGGAAAGATATTCTCTAACTTCCTGTTGAGTGTACAGAACAGGAAGTGAACCAAAATCCCCTAATAAAATACAGATGGCAGTTTTTTCAAATTGATTTTAGATATAATTTAATGCAATTTGGATAAAATACAGTTTATATGAAATTATACATGAAATTATTTTATAAATCTAATGTGCACAGGTGTGAGGCACTTATGAAAAAATGTTAAAAAGGTAAAAGTCAAAAATAATGCAATGAATAGTTATTTTTATCAATTAACAACCTACAAAGTGCATAAATTGGAAAAAAAACAAAACAAAATCAATATTTGATGTATCCGCCCTTTGTCTTAAAAACACCATCAATTGTACTTGGTACATTTGTACATCATTTTTTAAGAAACTCGAAAAGTAGGTTGTTCCAGACATCTAGGAGAACGAATCACTCTTCTTTTGAGGATTTTAGGGTGTCTGAGTTGCTTCTGTCTCTTTATGTAATCCCAGACAGATGCAATGATATGGAGATCAGGGCACCAAGAGAGGTCATTCCTTCTATTACAAGATTCTTTTTTTTTTTTTTTTCAGACTCATGGTGCTTTAGGACTTTGGCTGTATGTTTGGAGTCATTGTCCTGCTGCAGAATGCATTTGAGGCCAATGAGATACCTACCTTGTGGTAATGCATTATGCATAAATATATGCTTGTACTTTTTAGCATTGAGGAGACCATTAATTCTGACCAAATTTGCAACTCCAGGTGCAGAATTGGAGCTCCAATCCTGCAGGGAATCTCCACCATGCTTTACTTGCTCACTGCCATCCAGGCCTTCAGCAAAAAACAGTTTTTTCAATAGCCTAATAATTTAAATTATTCCTGCCATTTTCTGCACACCGTTTCTTGTTCTTGTGCTGCTTGGCATAGCTTCCATGTTAGAGCTATGGCTTTTAGCTTAGTCCACCATGAAGACCACTTTTGACCAGACAACTTTAGATTGTAGATGGGTGAACCAGGGTCCCACAGGTTTCTGCCAAGTCTAAGCTGATATTGCCACTGCACATCTTCCAGATGTGAATGGAAATCAACATGACGTGTCTTTCATCTACTGCAATAAGTTTCAATGGCTGACCACTGGGTTTACGGCCCTCAGTGTCATCTGTTTCTTTGTGGTTCTGCAGAAGAGCTCCAACAGCTTATCTGGAAATACCTGTCTTTTTTTCAAATGTTTGACTATGAGAGACCTTGCGGATACAATACAACCACCCTGTGTCTTTTTGCTGTGCTCAGTCTCACCATTGCGTAAGACTTTTTACATTAAACTGTCTTCAGCTTGTAGAGCACGGCTATTCCTCACTCAGTTTCTCATCCAGCTGATTTGGTTTGATTTAATGATTGTATTTTAAGCTACATATTTTGTTGATTGGTAGTACCTGCTTGGTAAAACAGAACAATAATAAAATTTAAACTTTGGTATAATTGTTAAATCACGCACTAGAGCATATGCTTGCAAATCCTTAACTGTGTGCAAGTGTACCTAAGAGAACTGAGCAAAGCACCTTAACCCATTAATCCTGCACCTCTTGGCTCTTTAAAGGGATTCTGATGCAAGGAGGTGGGGGCTTGGTGTATGATCATGTTACCACCGCGATTAGGTATCACAGTGGTCACGTGATCGGAAAGCTTCCAATCACAAGTAGCAATCAGGCGTTTTCTGTTAGGCACTAGTAACTGTGCTGGGAGCAGGCAGGGCACGCACTCTCGGCACAGGTTTGTTTACATTTGGGTAAGCAAATATGGAGTCTCTCAGCGTCAAGGCCCACCTGCCAAGAGGCCGCATTATTGTGTACGTCTGGTGCAAAGGGGTTAAACAAAAGGTGAACACATCAAATAATAATTTGATTCAGTTTTTCTTCCTGTTTATGCATTTTGTATTTTGTTAATTGATATAAACTACAGCATTTTTTTTTCCACAGTATTTTATATAATAATCTAAAATTTAATCTACATAAATGTGTGTGTGTATATATACAGTATATATATATATATATATATATATATATATATATATACAGAAATCATTTTATTTATTTATTTTATGTTTTGTGGGTAGCAGAAAGTATTTTCAGTAACATAATCATTACTTGTATTTATCACATCTCTCGGGCATTTTTTTCCTTGCACTCTAATGAATGTAAATGATACACATTGTATTGACTTTAAGGTATTGCTTCTCACCTGCACATTGCAAGAACGATAGTTTCTGGTTGGTCCAATACAATTTGATCCCCCATCTGCCCTAAGGAAGCAATAAAATCCATACTGCAGTTACAAAACTGTGCACAATCTAGATTCAATATCAGTCATTATGATTTAACAGCACATATGCCATTTACCATATTTGGACTTCCCCACTCATATTTTATCTTGATCCCTGCATCTTTCGACCTGGGTTCCCATAACTGCTTGTCCAACCCTAGGCACATCATATATGTCAAACTATACTTTTCTCAAAAATATGTATTTCCTCTAGGCTTTCAATAGAATAATATATGATATGTCTATTATCTAAATCTCACAATACCACCTGATCCATTTAACATATTATTATTATAAAAAACAGAATTTATATAGCGCCAACAGTTTGCGCAGCGCTTTACAAAATGAAGGCAGAAATTACAGTTAAAATACAATTTAATACAAGAGGACTCTGAGGGCCCAGCTTATATATCATCACTCTGTAACTTACTGTTCTTTGCTGCGAGATTTTTCTTTACCCATTTACCTTGTTGCAATCAAATTTATCCTAACAAAAGTAACTATGGGGTTGATTTACTAAATGCAAATAGGCTGTTCATTTTGAAAGGGAATTTTGCTATGTAGTGAAAATCCACTTTGCAAACAATACCCAATCATATGCATGGAAAATTAAAAAAATATATATATTTTGCACATGATTGGGTGATGGATGTCAGCAGAGCTTTAACTCATTCACTAAGCTAAGAGAAAATGATCTTGCAAAGTGAAAACTCCCTTGCAAAGAAAACAGCCTAGTTTCCTTTAGTAATTCAACTCCATAATCTTTATTTCCTTCCCAGTCTCTGTACTGATTTTCTGGATTGTCTCTTAATGTCTGAGCCATAACACATGTCACATGTCATACTGTAAATTCACCAAATTCATGATTTCAGTAAACAAAGCATGACAAATTGTTTAAAAAAATGAAATAAAGACTTTTTTCTTTCAAGTTTGTGCTTCTTAATGCAAAAAAGGAACCAAACTAATACAATTGAAAAAATGTAAATAATAAAAAAAAAAAAAAAAAAACAAAACAGGAAAATCCTGGTTAAGGGGCAAAGGGGAAGGGGGACATAATTAGAGCTTATTAGAGAAAATTAGGATACAGTAACGTTCAATAGAAACACATTTTATTTTTAAAAAATGCGCCTCCTTTTCTCCTCCTCCCACATCTTTCTCTCTGCCCTTTCTTTATGTCCCATTCCCTATTTCTCTCCATTTTCATCTTTTCTAACTTTCCTTTTTTTCCCTACAGGGCTTCCATTTTGGCTCAATTTTTCTGCATCTTCATTTTGTCCCACAGGTTTAAAACCACATCTATCAACAACAGACACATTCATGCGGTCCTGTATTAGGTATCTTTACTATGCGATGTTGAAAACCTTTTTTCTTTATTTTTTAGGTTGCTTTAACGTGTTTAGAAGAAAAAAGAGAACAAATTCTTGGAAATATATTGTCTTTAGAAATTGTTCTAAATGTAGTTTTTACTTGCGCTTCCGCACAAGATTATGACAATGCTTAAAGACAAGGCTTGGGCGTACACCTTCTTGCCCGGTCCAACAATTACCTGGAGCTGGAGAAAGAGGACTTTCTCTACTACTCCCTACACTGCTGACCCCAGTGGTAGTATTCTTTATCTATTTTGGCCACGTACAAGGTGCCTTCTCTATTTGAAAACATGTGCAACTGTTTGTTTTTTCCTGAATACATTATTTTAGTGCACTAGATGGATGCCTCCCTTTTTTTTATTTAAACCATAACTCCACTTTAGATGAGAAAAACAATCCTCCCTGGGTAATCTATGTACACTACAAGGATTATAATGAATTTTGCGAAAGATACCTTTTTCTGTGATGAAAAAAAACTGTTTGTTCCACCCTGTCCTTTCCAGACTGATTCGGAGAGTCATCTTCGTTATAACCACCTGGTGTACTTTCAGTGTTCTAATGAGCATTAGCTAACCCTTAGGGAATATCAAGCCAAAATTGAAATTCCTATTGCAGGGGATGCCTAAAATTTGACTTAGGGACAGTTCATACCACAATTTCTGTGCTACAGATGCATTTCTGCATGTGGCTATTCGTGTTTTTGATGCCTTCCATCGCATGTTTTATGCGTTTTGCTGCATACCAAATGTGTTCTATACATGTAATGTATATGTAGCATGTTTTACTTATAATGACAGCATTGGTATGAACTAGGGCCATTGGATACATGGAAAACACTGTGCATGCATTTTTGATGCAAATTAAAAACGCACTGAACTGCATCTCATGTGAACTAGCCCTCAGTACAGATTTCTGAGAAAATCCATGAGCCAATCACAGAAGCAGAAAATTACATTTCTGAGGGCTTTCTGTACACCAACAGTGTACAGAAACACCTCAAGGTTACCATATTGGATTGTATTTTTGACAGTTTTGGAAAATCACAGCATATGCAGGATGAAGTCGAACGGTAATTTTTAATAAAATTAGACTGCAAAATGGCTTGTGTTGCAATTGTATATGTTATTTTATTATTATTTTTTTAAGCACTTGCTGCCCTGCCACAATATACACACACACGTGATTGAGCCTGCTTTTGTTTAGCACCGTGCAGACCACCCCTCCCACTGGACATGGCAAATCACTGTTATTGGTAACCAGGTATCGTGTGAGAGCTATTATAGGTCATATTGATCACATGATAATAATGAAAACAGCCTATCATGAATGGGAAACCCATTCATGACAGCTAAAGCTATTACTTATGCAGTGATCACACTCCCCCAAAGTAGTACAGTGTCACTATTGAGACACTGAGCTACTCTGATGACAGGATGTAAAAAATTAAAAAGTAAAAAAAAAAAAGATGTTTAAAAAATTTAAATTGAAAAATAAATTGTTTTACATACTGTAATAGGTCAGTTTTCCTGGTCACTGCCATACCAGTCATATGATGACGCTGCACTAGTAACAGTAAAAAAAATAAATTTTTTAATTTTCCAAAAAATTATGACAAAAAAATTACAACTTCAAAAAACTTGCCATGCCTCTTGCTAAATACCTCAGACTGACTACTTTCCAAAAAGGGGTAATTTCAGTGGTAATTGTACTGTCCTGGCATTTTAGGGCCTCAAGAAATGAGATGCAGTCAGTAGATCAGGATTGGTCCATTTTCAAATATATGTACCATAGTTTGCAAACACTATAACTTTCAAACAAACCAATTAATACACTCTTACTGGGAATTTTTTTTTAACCGAAGAAATGTAGCAAAGTACATTTTGGCATAAATTTAAGAAGCATGCTTTTTTTTAAATTTTTATTGGATATGTTTTATAACAGAAAGCAGAAAAATATTGGTTTTTCACAATTTTATATTTAAAATTTTACATATAATAAAAAATGACATATTTTATAAATAATAAAAATGAAAAAAAAAGTAGTGATCAAATACCACCAAAAGAAAACTCTATTTGTGTGAAACAAATTATATAGATTTAATTTGGGTACAGGGTTGCATGACAGCACAATTGCCAGTTAAATTAGTGCTGTGCTGAATAGCAAAAAATAGACTGGTCATGAAGGGGGTAAAACCTTCTGAAGCTCAAGTGGGTACATGAAAGTGGTATTTTGGCATCATAAACAGATGTAAACTCCTCCCTTTAAACTGTAGATGAATGAAACAGTGTAGATACAAATTTAACAATGCAATTGATCAGTGTTTACAAACACGGTTTCAGATTATCCGCTTTGTGTAGCAGGAGCTCCTACAGCTGTTGGATTTACAAAAAAAATTCTGGTCATCATTATGACAGTCGGGAATTTCCAACAAGTGCAGGGGGTGGAATGGCAGAGGGGCAAAAGTAAAGGACATTCTACATACACCGCATATGTCATTGAAGTTTCTTTGGGATTGTGCAGTATTTCCAGTGTCAACAACTGCTTCAATTATTAAAGAGTATATACCAGGGGTCTGCAACCTTTAAGACATAAAGAGCCACTTGGACCCGTTTCCGAGAGGGAAAAAAAGACTGGGAGCCGCAAAACCATTGCAACATTTAAAACAAATCCGACACTGCATATATTGCAAAAAGCGCTCTGGTCATGAAGGGGGTTTAAGGGCCCAGTAAGCAAAGGGTTAATCAGGGCCACAGTGTATCGTCATAATCACAATCATAGCCTTAGGTCAGTGGTGGGCAACCTTTTCAACTGAGCCAAATCTCGCCAAAAACCACGATTTAAATTTATTTTGAGAGCCACATTTTTAAAACTGAAAATACATCCCCCATATAGTAATTCATCCCCCATAGTAATTCATCCCCCCTATAGTAATTCATCCCCCATATAGTAATTCATCCCCCCTATAGTAATTCATCCCCCATATAGTAATTCATCCCCCATATAGTAATTCATCCCCCCTGATTTTTGGGGCGGCCGCCCGAGAGGAGGGAGGGGAGCGGGCGCCCGGCACACAGAAGAAGAGCTGCATTAACCTCCCTGGCGGTATGATTCCTTCCGATTTTTTGTGCTGAAAGCGGTACCATTTTTTCGCATGGAAATAGTTTTTTATTGTAGGCTGTAATTTTTAGGAAAATTTCCCCACAAATCATTATCACTCAATTCTGCAAGTGGTTCTGATTTACTATCGCTGTTCTCTAGCCGGTCTAAAACCGCTTTTGACCTAAAGGGACGCTTTTTGGACGCCATGGACTTTTCTAAGTTTCCAGGCAGAAAGAACAGACAAAATGCAGGCAGGGCACAGGACAAAGCACTAGGGACAATATGCATGTGAAATGGGATGAAACAGCAATGTTTTACTATTGAAAATTGAAAAAAAAAAAAAAAAAAGACATTTTTTAAATTTTTTAAATTTCCCGCCGCCGGCGGCGCCCGTACGTCCCGACGTCACGGGGACCGGAACACAGAAGCCGGATGCCGGCATCGGCCGGAGGAGATGGCCGGGGACGCTGCAGGGGACACATCGCGGGAACGAAGGACAAGGTAAGTGCTGCAGGGACCCCCAGAGCAGCGCCGCATGGTAAGCCTGAGTGTAGCTCGTGGTATAGAAATTCTACCACGAGCTACACTCGGGAAAACCGCCAGGGAGGT